CATAGACTTAGGGGTACATATTAATCTGTGTGATGTTCACGTTTTTTAAAGTTTGGTCTTGACTGTTAATTCAAGATGGCGATGCGCGAAATACGGACCCCATTGGTGCTTTTAATATGGAACCCAACTCCTCCGAACTCTCTCTTTGCAAGCAGACGTTCCTCCCGAGCAATTTGTGAAAAAGACACTAGGTAGAAAGTCAATTCTTCCTGAGAATATCGAAAAACAGCTGCTGGAATATATATTGTTGATGGAGGTCATATTTTTCTATTATAAAAGCATTTTTTTCGATAAAATACATTGGAGTAAATAATTTTGTAATTATTTAACATTATTTGTACTTTCCTATTTGTTTTTGGATACATTAAAGCATTTTTTGAAAACGTACAGTAAGGTTCCATATTACCACCCGGTTTTCCCTAAGCCTACTTTCTGACTTTTTGTACAGAAGCCTTCAAAAACCATACTTATAATTACACTAGCGAAAAATCCAATTAGGAACATCTAGTTTAATAGTTACCAATACTTTTCGCTCAAAAAATGTGGATATAGTTATGGTACCTTGTTTACAATTCACTATAATGTAATTGGGGTTCCATAATACCACCTTCTCCTCTACCTGTATATTGTCAGTCGCTAGTTGTTCGTTGCACGTATGTACGGTCGGCAAAACATTCACGATCGTGATTAATACGATAAACTAACGCGTGAATCAAGCACGTTTTTTATTGTACTGTACTGTACGTATTTACAAAATACAGTAATCCGACAATACTGTAATTCTACACTTTCCAATCCGATATATGTCGGATTACACTCTACTGCTTATAATGTCATCATCATTTAAAATTATACAGTTCAATGTAAAAAAACAATAAAAAATAGATTATTAATGTGAAAACTATCGTAAATAGTAGTTATAAATAAGTTTTATGAAGATAAAAACAATTTATTATATGCCAGATTATGTAATAAGGGTTCAACATATAAAGTAGTGTAAGAAACCGACTTTTAGGGGCAATCAGTTAATAACGCGTCAGGAAAAGCCTAGGGACTGATCATATGTGGATGGTAATACGGAGGAAAAGATGATACGTGTCCTTACAACAAAACTGGTTATTATAGTAAATTATGGCTTACACCAGGCATGGCCAACCCGTTAAATTGTGTGGCCCGCTAAGCGATATTATATATCTATTAAAACTTTTGTTTCCCGTTATGTGTATACAAAAAATTAAATAGGCCTAAATAAAAATTTGCATGTGTCATTGTTATAGTGTGCGAATACGAACTCTTGGTATAACAATAAAATCTTATTCATTTTGTATTTGTTTTGCTTTTTTAAAAGCATGTTTGCCTAAATTGTGACCCACCGTAATGTTACTCGTGATCAAACTGGCCCGCGAAACAATTTGGGTTGGCCAGGCCTGGCTTACACGAATGTTGACAGGTGGTTGACGTCGAAAGGTAGTTTAACAATGCCGCACTGTCCAAAATAACAGAGTTCGCTCGTCAGCTCACTGTTCGGATGTTTCGTGATGACCGGTGATGGATCTTGTTGGTTCGAAACGGCCCCGGGGCAGGGATGGTGATGATGACTATGATGTAGTCCGTTGTCGATATGGTGGCTCGTCGAAGTGGGGTATTGACGTTGCAGGATGCAAACAACACAGAATAGGCACGATTACATTGGGAGAAAATCAGCGATTCGACCTTGAGATTCGGGGTTTTTATAGGATTTTTCCCTGGAATTTCACATTTTGATTGGTCCTGTATCTTCTTCCTCGCTTTCCGATTGGTCTCCCTTTTGTTTCTAGGTGAAAACCGAGAACTTGATCGGGTCACTAGAAAGGTCCGTTTCGTGGCGTCTGTCCCATACCTTTTTGTCGACTCTGACCGGAGTTTTTTTTATTTATTTTTTTAACTATTTCCGCCCTGTGGGCACTAAGAGGGCCTCTTTTTGCAAGCCCATTATGGGTTCGGCCAGGCCCACAATGAGGCTGTCGGGTAGTGAGGGATGGGGCGCGACATATCCGAACGGACCACCCCCCAAAAAATTCCTGGGGATTTTTCGAACCGTTCGGATTCGAACCCGGGTCCCCCAGAACGGTAGGCTTCCGTCAGAGGTTTTTACATCAGTTTTAAACTCCATCCAGAGGGTCGGCCATCCGGCCCTCTGACTGGAGTTTAAAACTATAAGCCGTGCGCTCATAATTTAGCCTGTTGTTTTTATTTTCTGTCAATTTTTAGATTTTAATAATCGTACATGATGTTTTTCTAATCGTCAAATCTTCCCCCTTTTTGGACTTTTTAACGTCGTTCGATTGTATATGAGTGCCCATGTCAGAGTTCTATCTTCTCCGGCGGACATTCCACCTGATCCGTTACGCAGAGCCCGCCCTACCATAGGGCGAACGGAACAGCCGCTCCAGGCGCTAAGTCCTATGGGGCGCCTCAGTGGTAAAGAAAATTAAAGAGTATAAATTAAGGGCAACCAAGGGGGCGCCATAATATGATCTCGCTCCATCCTAAAACTTGCCTCGGGCCGGCAATGCCGTTACGTCATTTGTCTTCGCGTTTGTTTTAACAACTACAGTTTTTTTCCTCCTCTCTCTTACATAAGTAACATGACCTTTGTTCTGACTTGACAATAACGTTTCGCTTTTAACATGTAAAAATTAAATTTTAGTTTCGACCCGTTCTGGAACCTCATAGCAGTTAAGAACAGAATAAATTTTTGTAAAAGAAGCAGTAACTTTTTAAATTCTGTTATGAAAATAAGTAAAGATGTAGATACGAATATGAATATACCGGTATTAATAACATATAAATTGTTTCTAAAGTAAGAGTTACAGTTGAAATATTTATTTAGATTTATGCTAAATTGTTAATATGTTAAATGAGAAGGGTGCTAAAGTTGTTGTTGGTAAAACACCGATGGGCCGATCTTAGAACGGGCACGTGAATCTTTTACCGCTTTATTTGGTACAAAATTATTTTCCTAGATGCTCAGTCTAGGTGCTAGATTTTTCTAGATGCTCATCAGTAAAATTAATATATTCCATTCACTGTAAATGCTAATTCATTTGCTTAAGAATTCTCAAAAATTAAAAGAGACTTTTTATGGCATTTTTCCATTGTATATACAGAATGTCCATAAAGTTTCTTTACAACTTAAAAAAATTATTGCAAAGGCAATTGATAAGCTATCTTAATCAGACTTGTTCTATTGTACTCAATGGTTTTCAAGTTTTTTTACCTCATTTAATACACCTCTATATGGGCACCATTAGTCGGACGAAGTACATCAAGACGGTATTCGACTTCTTGCCATGTTCGCTGTATCATAGCTCATAACTGCAGGACCTTCAACTGACCATCATTTTCCAGGAGGATGGCGCCCCACATTGAAACTTTGGGGACTGCATGTTTGTGACTTCTTTAATCAAACATTTCCAGACCGTTGGATTGGAAGGGGTGGACAATTCCGTGGCTACCACGTTCACCAGATATCACACCTCTGGATTTCTTTCTATGGAGCTACCGGTATGTTAAAGATATTGTATATCGAACAAAGACACGGGACATTACCGAACTAAAGCAAAAGATAACAGATGCAATAGCGACCATTGATGAGGCTATGCTACAGCGAACCTGGCAAGAAGTCGAATAACGTCTTGATGTACAGTACTTCGTGCGACTAATGGTGCCCATATAGAGGTGTATTAAATGAGGTAGAAAAATTTTGAAAACCATTGAGTACAATAGAACAAGTCTGATTAAGATATCTAATTGCCTTTGTAATAAATTTTTTAAGTTGTAAAGAGACTTTATGGACACTCTGTATATTAATTTTACATTTTTTGAATTAAGAATTTTCTAAAACAGAACCTGATTGATGGGTTCGACTATGAAACGACTGCTTCAAGCGGCAAAATGAGCAATCAAAATGTTCAACAGGAGAAAAAAATAAATGAAAAACAATAAGTCGAATAAACCGAGTCCATAAATGTATTTTAAAGTCGCTTATAAATAGTTCACACAAGAATGCTTGTGTGAACTATTGACAACTGTTCTGCATGAAGGGTAGCAAAAATCAGTTTCGCTTCAAGTGAAAGTTACCATCGAGCTAGTATTGCCGTGAAAAATCATTTAACTTAATAATAACATATACCTTATTAAGTAATGTATTAATGCTAATTTCTTAACGAAACCGCTACGGGCTCAGTATACATACACATTTTATTCTGTGTAAACGAAGTCATGTCGAATCTTGCATATGTGTATGCAAAGCAAGTCTTTCTTTTTAAGAATGTTTATTTTATAGTACTAAATAGGTACTAGTTAAGGTAAATACTAAAATATAGGCCTATATTTTAGTAGTTAAGTTTAACAGTTTAGTTTTTAGTTTTTAATGTTTATTTTTTAATTTTTTCCGAGCTACTATTATAGGGACATAGAAAAATATTAAGCTCAAAAAGTGCACATAAAACTGCATGTACAGGGTCTTCAAATAAATAAATAAATAAATAATAAATAAATAATTAATTAACGGACTTATTCAGGGTGTGTTTATAGTGTTATAGCACCTAATTGATACTAAAGCAATCAATAAAAATAAATATAATAATGCATATCGCATGACTTCAATTAGATTAAATTAGGTAACTTAACTAATTTCTAAATTCTAATATAATTAACCACTAGTCTATCCGGCTGTAAATAAAAATAAACAAATAAATAAATAAATAAAACTATTCATGAACTAAAATAAATGAAAATTATATATATTTTAATTCCTTATTTAGAAGTAAATCACTTAAAATCGAATATATTATACTTCTTTTTTCTTTAATATTCGTTTATTTTGAAATCATTTAACGAATGCAGTAAGCTTATAATAATTACAGGTTTGTTTACGAATCGAAATGGGCGTGTTCGTTACGTTCAAAAAGTGCGCACTTTTACGTCAGTTTGACGTCATTTTATGAAACTCTTTATTGTAAAACTGAACAGATGATGTCAAACGACGAAAACTGTACACTTTCCGGGCAAAACGATCGGGACTGTTTAGTCACGTGGCTAGAAGAAATCCTGCTTTGCACGATTTTAAACGTTATTTTGCACATTAATCTGTGTGATAAATGTATCTTAAGATCACAAGACATTGATTGATTTTCGAATTTATCTATTTGGACTTTGCATATATATTTATTGAATTGATAAATCGTTTATTCCTCGTCCAGAGTGTTGCCCTGTTTAGTGAGATGAATTTATTATTCTTTCTTGGTTTTAATATTTTCCCATTAATTATTGCTCACAATTGTGATTCTAATGGGCAACCACACGAAAGTCATGTGCAGGTAAACAACTTTTATTCATATAAATTAAAGTGCAAAAAACTTAGTGAAGTTATTGAGATTGTTTGTTTAAACTTACTTAAATAAAAGTAATGAAAGTCAATTTAATATATAAATTTGTTTATATATATATTTAATTTTAGGTATCACCTACAGTTGGTATGCCGTGGCCTCTTCCTCAACAGTATGTAGTTTATAAATCGTACATGGGATTCAAACCAGATAATTTTCAAATTATCAACAATTCTGGGAATTGTACAATTCTACTAAATGCCATCAAACGATATCAACGGTTACTATTTCTTGACGAGTGTCTTCCTCAAAATGAAGATCAGAGCAACTCGATCGAACACCAAACAATAAATTTTATTAAAAATGATAATTTTGCTGGTTATTTATACAATATTAGTGTAAAAATTAATCACTGTGAACAATGGCCTCACATGAATATGGATGAACAGTGTAAGTATAATATTATTTGATTAATATAATTTGAAAGTGACATTAAATTGTCATGCAGAATGTGTAAGTTTCCAGTAAAACTATTAACTAATATTTCATCAATTAATTTAAGGTGCATTGCAAAAGTCCACTCCTTTCAGTTAAGCAAACACAACACAAACATATATAAAGAAACCAACATACATTTATTTGTGAAGGTAGCAAAAACATGTAAAAATAATATGACATCATTAAACTAGCATATTATTAATTAATTGTAAATGAATAAATACACAAAGTGAGATAATCCATGTGTTGCAAAGGATAACTATTAAGAAAGTTCCACAAATCTATATCAATTCAAATTATATTTTCAAAATAAAAACTTAAGAACTTCAAGTGATTTTGGTCCTCTGTCCTCTGTCTATTATTAAGGGTGTAAAAGAGAAAAATATTTTTCCTTACTATAAATGTATCTCTCTTTAATCCGAAATTAAGTTTGACTATTATTACAGTTTTCAGGTTAGATACTTCTTTTATTGTTTTCACATATGCATTAGAAGATAGAACCATATGTATCGTATAAGTGTGACAATTTTTAATATTGCACTGAAGAGGGGCTTAGCATTTATATAAGTCTGAAATGCATATGTGAAAACAATAAAAGAAGTGTCTAACCTGAAAGCTGTAATGATAGTCTATCGAACTTAATTTTGGATTAAAGAGACATACATTCATAGTACATAATAACAGCTACCATAAGTGATATTTAGAAGAATATTTTTTCCTTATTGAACTATGATGATGGATGCAATTTGAAATTACTCAAGCTTCCTAAAATTTTAATTTTAAGAAAAGTAGTTTGAATTAGAATCAAATTAACATAAAGAACAATGAGAAAACAATTTTTTACATCTTAGGAAAGGTTTTTTCAGTGGTTTAACATTCATTTCATATTTGTAAAGGAAAAAGTATTCAAAATATTTAATACTACTTAGTAATAATTAATAATGAGAATAATTAAAATTGTTTTTGACCAAAATCTAATAGTAACTTGATAATTGAATGGCCAAGGCAGTTAAGGCATCAGTGTATTGCTCTAGGGTCACAGGATTGGATCTGGATAAACAGCCCCAGGAATTTTTGTGGTGGTGGTCATCCTGGATATGATGGACCCTATCTCTCACCACTCAGCTACATCCATTGTGGGCTTGGCCAAATCTTTGATGGACATGTTTGATTAAAAATGTCCTTTTAGTGCCTGCAGGGTGAAAGAGTTAAAATGAAAAAATTTAATCAATCCTTTTTTTTAATTAATATTTGTATAAAAGTATCTATTTTAATTTTAATTATATAATTAATATATGCTAATATGTTTCTCATCAAGTTTATTAGAATGTAATTTAATGTGAATTTGAATTAAATTATATTGTAATGTATATAATTAAATGAAGTTTTAAAATGAAGTAATGTTGCTGCTATGTAAATTTCTATTACAGATATCTATTATATGAAATTTCTGATAAAACTTTATAAATTTAAAATGTTTTTTTTTTTGTTATAATTATATATCATGAGTGTATTTTGTATCAGATACAAAATACACTCATGATATAAATCATGTACAAAATACCGCAAAAAATTAGATTGGATCCCCAAGAAACCACAATGAAATATGGGTGTACAACATTGCCTACAATTGATTTATTGGGACAATGTATCTGATATGTTAATTATATATGTTTCCAAACACAATATTTAAATAAATAAATACTTTTTAAATTAAAATATATTTTGTAATTGTTATGAAAAAATACAATCAATAATTTGTCAGTTTAATACAATTGATAGTTACAAGATAAGGATTCTCCTGTCTCTGAGGAAAGTTCAATGAGGTCCAAGATAACCTTGAATTTTTGTAGATAATTCTATCAGTGTTATGTTCCTATTCTTTTGTGACTACTAACTGATCCTATTATCATTTAAATTTATTTATATAATAGCAAAATTAATGCTGTCTATTTAGCATAAAATGGTTCTTAACCCAAGAATATATTGTAAACCAAGGTCTGTAAACACTGGTTTACAAGCATTTTCAAATTTTCTATCAGAGATTAGTTTAAAAAAACACCAAATATATTATCAAAATAAATGAAATATAATATTTCATTTATTTTGATAATATATTTGGTGTTTTTATTATTTATTGTTTTTATTTATTTTGTACTGTATTGCATTTTTTTATTATGGTGTTTAAATAAATAATTTAATATATGTAATTTTAAGTGTACAAAGAATAATCAGTATGATCAGGTCTGGTGTAAGCCAGAAAGCAAGACAGATGAGCATCAACTAATGAGCTTATTGATGACAACAAAATTATCAATGCAAACAAAAATTATGAAAATATTAAAAATTATCATACAGATGTTCAAACTTGTTACAGATGCTAATAAGTTTATTTCTGTCATGTAACTTTTATAATTTACAATACAGTGATACCTCGACTTACGCTACCCCAACTTATGTGAACCCGAAGTTACACGATTTTCAAATCTCGTCGATTCATCTTTTGTTTGAGCACCACGCAACTCTTGATTACTCATTCCCTCTGCACTATTGTTTAACTTACATGTTCGGACATGTCGCAAGGAATTGACACATAGCTGAAATTTATTTTGTGTTATTTATTTCTGTGTTTGTTATATCTATGGAGCTCGAGAGACTCTATGTGGTGATTTCTTGTAACAATGAACGAATCAAAAGACGAGATAAGATTAACGAGAACATTTATTAGCTTACATACATCCGACTTGGATTTTACACACATTGAGAAATTATACCCCGACTTACGTGAATTCGACTTACGTGGTTATCGCTCGGTCCCACCTATCGCGTAATTTCGGGGTATTACTGTATTTAATCTGCCATTGGAAAGGTATTAATTTCTACAATATTCAGGAACAGTGTAATGGTGTATAGCATCATTACACTGAATATTGTTGCTATTTCTCCTTGGATAATTTTTGACTTTTGAGCTGAAGTGACATTCAAAATGTAGAATGGAACTAGCAATTTCTTTGTTGAATATTAGCAATCTAAATATTTATTTATTATAAAATATCTACTTTTATCAAAAGTTTCCTTATCTCATCAATGTTTAATTTATTAAATTAAACATCTAAAATTATTATCTAAAATTTTTAAATTAAATTATTTTAGATGCTTAATGAAAATAGTCCACAAAAAAATACATCTTTTGTGGACTATTTTCTATAGATTAATACCTGTACCATACATGAATCAGCAATTGAATATTAGTGCCTTGGGCCACTAGACTTAGATAAGCTTCACAAATCACATAGTCCAATATTTTCCAAATTTTGATTCTCTTTCCCATCCTGGTGATTATTTGTGATCCTAACCTTTAGACCAAGTAGTCTAAGAAAGCTGGACCATCAAATACTTTATATTTAAACACCAGGTGGGAGAATAGCAAAAGGTTTTTTTGCAACTCCCCTGAACAACCATGAAAACATAAAATAAAACAAAGACATATAAATCAATTATAAATATTGTATGTTTTTGAATTGTTATATTAGTCACTAATTTACCTTCTACACCCATTCTATTGAGCTATGTGGTTTGTGAATGTTCCCTAAGGTATACTGATAGCTGATAGTTACATGGAAAATTTAGTTCATCTGACTTTTAATGTTTTGCTACAAATTAGTATTTAATAATAAACAACTTGTTTTATAATTTAATTTATATTAAATGTTGCAAAGGATAACTATTAAGAAAGTTCCACAAATCTATATCAATTCAAATTATATTTTCAAAATAAAAACTTAAGAACTTCAAGTGATTTTGGTCCTATGTCTATTATTAAGGGTGTAAAAGAGAAAAATATTTTTCCTTACTATAAATGTATCTCTCTTTAATCCGAAATTAAGTTTGACTATTATTACAGTTTTCAGGTTAGATACTTCTTTTATTGTTTTCACATATGCATTAGAAGATAGAACCATATGTATCGTATAAGTGTGACAATTTTTAATATTGCACTGAAGAGGGGCTTAGCATTTATATAAGTCTGAAATGCATATGTGAAAACAATAAAAGAAGTGTCTAACCTGAAAGCTGTAATGATAGTCTATCGAACTTAATTTTGGATTAAAGAGACATACATTCATAGTACATAATAACAGCTACCATAAGTGATATTTAGAAGAATATTTTTTCCTTATTGAACTATGATGATGGATGCAATTTGAAATTACTCAAGCTTCCTAAAATTTTAATTTTAAGAAAAGTAGTTTGAATTAGAATCAAATTAACATAAAGAACAATGAGAAAACAATTTTTTACATCTTAGGAAAGGTTTTTTCAGTGGTTTAACATTCATTTCATATTTGTAAAGGAAAAAGTATTCAAAATATTTAATACTACTTAGTAATAATTAATAATGAGAATAATTAAAATTGTTTTTGACCAAAATCTAATAGTAACTTGATAATTGAATGGCCAAGGCAGTTAAGGCATCAGTGTATTGCTCTAGGGTCACAGGATTGGATCTGGATAAACAGCCCCAGGAATTTTTGTGGTGGTGGTCATCCTGGATATGATGGACCCTATCTCTCACCACTCAGCTACATCCATTGTGGGCTTGGCCAAATCTTTGATGGACATGTTTGATTAAAAATGTCCTTTTAGTGCCTGCAGGGTGAAAGAGTTAAAATGAAAAAATTTAATCAATCCTTTTTTTTAATTAATATTTGTATAAAAGTATCTATTTTAATTTTAATTATATAATTAATATATGCTAATATGTTTCTCATCAAGTTTATTAGAATGTAATTTAATGTGAATTTGAATTAAATTATATTGTAATGTATATAATTAAATGAAGTTTTAAAATGAAGTAATGTTGCTNTTTGTCATTTTAAACTCTTTCCATACAGTTAGCACTAAGAGGGCTTTTTTTCCATACCAATGAGGGTTTGGCCAGGCCAGGCCAACAATGAGGCTAGTTAGTGATGGGAAAAGGGGCCCAACATATCCATGATTGACCACCCATAAAAAATTCTTGGGTCCCATGAAAAATCACCTGGATTTGATACTGGGTCTCCAGAGCAGTAGGCTGTGCCCTCATCATCTCTGCCATTCAGCTGTTCTGATTACAGTTTTAAACTGATTAAAAATATTAAATAAAGTAAATGACCAGTAGCAACATTGAACAAATTTATTTCTTCTTATTGAGAGAAATAACAACATACTACTTAAAAGACCTTTCACCCAATGTTAATGGACTTCTTCAGTTGTAATTTTTGAACAGCAAGAACAAAATATTTGGAGAATATAGCTTTGAAATTTGAAATTTTCAAACTGTTCTACTCGTACATCTTTATGTCAGCAGAAAATGGTAGAAAATGGCAAAGAAGGGGAATTATATATAAATGTAAGTGGTAGTATGTATGCAACATTATTTTAAGTCATGAAGGCACTCTGACAATGCATCGCAGAAACTAAATGTTGACTATAAGGTGTATATACTAAAGGTTTCTTACAGTCTCTAAGATAGAAAATTTAATTTTATATTGATTTAAATTTAATAATTTAAATGAAAATATTCATAAATGTGTTTCATTTTTTAAAATATTTATTCAATATTATGATAAATCCAATATTAATTAATTTATAATAAATTTATTTAATTAAGTACAATGGGTGATTGGTTAACGAACAGTTCGGTTAATGAACAAATCAGATAACAAACATTTTTGTGAAAGATTTTTATGTTTGGACAATGAACAAATGTTCAGATAACAAACATCTCACAGAACAAACACAAGAAGACGCAATGTAAAATAATGAATACTGATTGATCTTCCCTTGTCTTCGGGTAACAATTTGAAACTTTTTGGAGTGCGGGAGATGTTGACATCAACACTCAACCCAGTATATACTGATCGGATAGTATTCCTCTGAACTTTGAAACTCTCTCTTGTAATTCCAGCCTTTTGTTTTTCTGACAGAAACAATTCTTTTATAGTATTTGTGAGACTGTCAGCCTGGCACTCGTTAAGTTTTGCGTCGGTTTTTATTTTTGAAAAGTGATAGTATAATATGCTCTACCTTTCCTATTATACTCTCACCTATTCTATTATAGTGATCTACCTATAGTGATATCTATCTATCTTATAGTGATTTACCTATCTACTATTTCCTATTATAGTGGGCAGTACAGTGGTACCTCACGATACGAACGTCCCAGCATACGAAATTTTCAGGATACGACACGAAATTCGAACATATTTTTGCTCCACGATACGAACAAAAACTCACCATACGACATCACATTAGTTCGCAGTGCCATTTTTTATTCACTTCTGTTCATCGGTCTTGGTCCGTGCGTTTGCTTCGTCGTGGAAGGATCTTGCTCGACAAAGGAAATCTCGAGGTATTATCAGAAAGTNAATATATTTTGTAATTGTTATGAAAAAATACAATCAATAATTTGTCAGTTTAATACAATTGATAGTTACAAGATAAGGATTCTCCTGTCTCTGAGGAAAGTTCAATGAGGTCCAAGATAACCTTGAATTTTTGTAGATAATTCTATCAGTGTTATGTTCCTATTCTTTTGTGACTACTAACTGATCCTATTATCATTTAAATTTATTTATATAATAGCAAAATTAATGCTGTCTATTTAGCATAAAATGGTTCTTAACCCAAGAATATATTGTAAACCAAGGTCTGTAAACACTGGTTTACAAGCATTTTCAAATTTTCTATCAGAGATTGGTTTAAAAAAACACCAAATATATTATCAAAATAAATGAAATATAATATTTCATTTATTTTGATAATATATTTGGTGGTTTTTATTATTTATTGTTTTTATTTATTTTGTACTGTATTGCATTTTTTTATTATGGTGTTTAAATAAATAATTTAATATATGTAATTTTAAGTGTACAAAGAATAATCAGTATGATCAGGTCTGGTGTAAGCCAGAAAGCAAGACAGATGAGCATCAACTAATGAGCTTATTGATGACAGCAAAATTATCAATACAAACAAAAATTATGAAAATATTAAAAATTATCATACAGATGTTCAAACTTGTTACAGATGCTAATAAGTTTATTTCTGTCATGTAACTTTTATAATTTACAATACAGTGATACCTCGACTTACGCTACCCCAACTTACGTGAACCCGAAGTTACACGATTTTCAAATCTCGTCGATTCATCTTTTGTTTGAGCACCACGCAACTCTTGATTACTCATTCCCTCTGCACTATTGTTTAACTTACATGTTCGGACATGTCGCAAGGAATTGACACATAGCTGAAATTTATTTTGTGTTATTTATTTCTGTGTTTGTTATATCTATGGAGCTCGAGAGACTCTATGTGGTGATTTCTTGTAACAATGAACGAATCAAAAGACGAGATAAGATTAACGAGAACATTTATTAGCTTACATACATCCGACTTGGATTTTACACACATTGAGAAATTATACCCCGACTTACGTGAATTCGACTTACGTGGTTATCGCTCGGTCCCACCTATCGCGTAATTTCGGGGTATTACTGTATTTAATCTGCCATTGGAAAGGTATTAATTTCTACAATATTCAGGAACAGTGTAATGGTGTATAGCATCATTACACTGAATATTGTTGCTATTTCTCCTTGGATAATTTTTGACTTTTGAGCTGAAGTGACATTCAAAATGTAGAATGGAACTAGCAATTTCTTTGTTGAATATTAGCAATCTAAATATTTATTTATTATAAAATATCTACTTTTATCAAAAGTTTCCTTATCTCATCAATGTTTAATTTATTAAATTAAACATCTAAAATTATTATCTAAAATTTTTAAATTAAATTATTTTAGATGCTTAATGAAAATAGTCCACAAAAAAATACATCTTTTGTGGACTATTTTCTGTAGATTAATACCTGTACCATACATGAATCAGCAATTGAATATTAGTGCCTTGGGCCACTAGACTTAGATAAGCTTCACAAATCACATAGTCCAATATTTTCCAAATTTTGATTCTTTTTCCCATCCTGGTGATTATTTGTGATCCTAACCTTTAGACCAAGTAGTCTAAGAAAGCTGGACCATCAAATACTTTATATTTAAACACCAGGTGGGAGAATAGCAAAAGGTTTTTTTGCAACTCCCCTGAACAACCATGAAAACATAAAATAAAACAAAGACATATAAATCAATTATAAATATTGTATGTTTTTGAATTGTTATATTAGTCACTAATTTACCTTCTACACCCATTCGATTGAGCTATGTGGTTTGTGAATGTTCCCTAAGGTATACTGATAGCTGATAGTTACATGGAAAATTTAGTTCATCTGACTTTTAATGTTTTGCTACAAATTAGTATTTAATAATAAACAACTTGTTTTATAATTTAATTTATATTAAATTTTAATTAAAATATTTTTTCTTTTAGATCTTTTAAAAATAAATAGTCCTGATATTCCTGGACAGGGATTATTATATAGTAATTCAGTATGGGGTGCTTTAAGAGGTTTAGAAACCTTAAGTCAAATAATATACAAGAATGCAGATGGAATGGTAAATATAAAAATCATTTATTATTTAATTTTTCTTATTTTCTATAAATATTTTTTATATGAATTAATTTTCTATTTTAATTTTTAATATTTCTAATAAATACAAATTAGAAACCTGCATATTGTGATAAACATAAAGTAAATCACTGATAACAATGTTGAACAAATTTATTTACTCTTGTTGAGAGAAATAGCAACAAATAAAAGTACTTTTTTCCAATGTAAGCAGTTGTAGCTGTAATATTATATATATGAGGGTAGGCTGAAAAGTAATGCACACATGCTTGTAGAGCATGGACGAAATGATTTTCAGAAGCGTGCCAGGTGGCATATGGAAGTAACATTCCCCCTCTATGCGCATGTGCAGCTTGAGGAGGTTGCGTTCATTCAGTATATTTTGAGAAGTGGAAATACGGAGACGTGTTCTAGTGCTATGTCAATGCGACTTAAACAGCGTGCTGTTATCGAATTTTTAACTGCTGAAAAAGTGACTCCTACTGAGATTTATCATCGTTTAAAGGCTGTTTATGATGACGACGATGCTGTAGATAGGTCTACTGTAAATTGATGGATAATACAATTTCATGGTTGCGAGCCTGGAAAAGCCATAATTGTTGATGAAACAATCAGCAGACGTCCGATCACTGCCACAGACAATTACCGCTGCCCCTCGTTGCAATGTTTAATTCTTCTCAGTACATACAGACTCTAAAATACCTCCGACATTGAGTTTGTCATGTTAGAAGTAGCCTGACACCAATAATCTTGCAACATGACAATGCCAGTTGCACACACCTCGTGTGCAACTGGAGAGGCTCTGCAAAACCTGAAGTTTGAACCGATTCCACACCCTCCTTATTCCCCTGATCTTATGCCTTGCAATTTTTATTTTTTTCCTCTACTCAAGAGAGACCTCAGGGGTGATCATTACACCTCAAACGATGAGGTGAAGGCAGCTGTGAAGTCCTGGATTCGAGAAAAGTCGGAAGAATTTTTCAGTGACGGAATGAAAAAATTTGTTACACATTGGGAGAAATGTGTTAATCCTTAATGGTGACTATGTTGAAAAATAAATATACGATTTTGAAGCTTAAGAATTGTACTTTAATGTACTTTTTGCCCAATCTTACTATTTGTTTTTGTTCGTGTTCTACAAGCATGTGTGCATTACTTTTCAGCCTACCCATGTATTATACTGTATATAATGTATTTAAAGTGATAGAGTGTATGAAATGTCATTTTAAGGCTTTAAGGCACTCTAACAAAACTAGGTAGAGACTAAATGTTAGCTGATCAAGTTTTTGCTATATCAGTGCCACAACTGAGCTTTGAGGTAAAAAATCTTCAAACATAAAAAGGACATGGAAAAAGGAACAATAAAGCTGCTTGGACAATGAGTCTGAAGTCTTATTGGACTCTGTAAAAATCCTAAGGATTCTGAGCAATCTAGCAAAACTCTCAACTTTAAACCATAAATATACAAAACTCCAATTCCATCAATCAGAGTTCAACTTGATCTGAAGTGGACTACCTTTTTGTCATTTTAAACTCTTTCCATACAGTTAGCACTAAGAGGGCTTTTTTCCATACCAATGAGGGTTTGGCCAGGCCAGGCCAACAATGAGGCTAGTTAGTGATGGGAAAAGGGGCCCAACATATCCATGATTGACCACCCATAAAAAATTCTTGGGTCCCATGAAAAATCACCTGGATTTGATACTGGGTCTCCAGAGCAGTAGGCTGTGCCCTCATCATCTCTGCCATTCAGCTGTTCTGATTACAGTTTTAAACTGATTAAAAATATTAAATAAAGTAAATGACCAGTAGCAACATTGAACAAATTTATTTCTTCTTATTGAGAGAAATAACAACATACTACTTAAAAGACCTTTCACCCAATGTTAATGGACTTCTTCAGTTGTAATTTTTGAACAGCAAGAACAAAATATTTGGAGAATATAGCTTTGAAATTTGAAATTGTCAAACTGTTCTATTCGTACATCTTTATGTCAGCAGAAAATGGTAGAAAATGGCAAAGAAGGGGAATTATATATAGTCATCAAGACATATTTTGTATTAGACGGTGCTATGTTGGCGAGTTTCACTCACTTTTGGTCAAAGGTCACTGTCTTGTTTGGTGTGCTGCATCCCTGTGTGTCATGGTGTCTCCCCTCTCCTTCAGCTTGTATTCATGTTACGTATAACTGTGTATTTCTGTGCATCGTTAGATTCATTTATTTGCTTCATTTTCTGACAGGTTTTATTAATAATTGATTTTATGTATATGAATCATGAAAATTTATCATGAGTGTTAGAAATAAAATCAACTTTTAAGAGAAGAAAACATTTTCAAATTTAGAAGTGCATGGAAAAATTAAGATAAATGTTTTCAAGGTGAAATCTCATCCTTAGAACATATGTTGAATAATTTTTTTTATCATATTGTATTATAGAAAAGCCATAATATTGACTATTATTACAATTTATTTTTTAATAGCTAAGTTTTCAATAAATTAGAAATTTATAAAAATATTATTTTACATTACTGGTAATATCAGTAGTATTTAAATGTGAATAGATGGAATCATTACAATTTTGAATGGTTTATTTATTGTTAAAATTTTGTCATTATAACATATTAATTTTTATGTATTTAATCATTTTAAAAATATTTGTTATAAAACCAGCATTAAGAATAATAAAATTATGGAGTTTTTACTTCTATGTACGAGTCTAAAAATCAGATTCATGTTGATACTATTCTCTCTCTTTCTGCAATTATATTTGACTATATAGAATTTTACTATAGAATTTTATATTTTATATTTTTTTAGTTTATTGTTAATTCTACACTTATTCTGGATTATCCAAGATTTTCACATCGTGGTGTTCTTCTTGATACTTCAAGACATTTTGTTCCAGTGAATATTTTACTGCAAAATCTGGTAATTTTAAAAATTGTTTTTCTGAAAATTAATTTAATTAAATTAAATATTTTCAATTAATTCATTCTAATTTTAATTTTTGAGAAAGATTTTTTTCAAAATCTCAAGTAATTAGTTAGAAAATATAATATATAAGTTCATTTTTTTATTAAACACTAGCATTTTATATAGCAATAGTAACATTAAAGACTATACAGATGATAATAGTATTTACATTAATACAAGCTTTGTTAAAATATTAGTTTAATGTAGGTAAAATCATTAAATTCATGCTCTGTCTAAATTTAATTATTAAAACAAAAATTAGCAAAAATAAGTCCATGTATTGGTAGTATAGAAAAGCCAGCTAATGTATAAAATTCTTATATTTCAGCAAGAATTCTATAATTTGCTAAATTCGAAATAGATTTTAATAATGATCGTAAAATACACTACACGCCAACAATCAAATAAAATAAAATAATTAACACTTCAGTGTTGAGGCATTACAATCACAATTTTTTATAATTTAGATGTACTTGCTAGCATTTTCGATAGCTTAGCCACCATCCTCAGGTGAAAAATTGAATATGGTTAATTTTCGAACATTTGGCTTTTGAAAGTGCAATGCTGCAACACTAAAGTGTTAATTATTTTATTTTATTAGATTCTAATAATAAAAATTATCTGATTGAGCTTCCTGTACACAATTCTAGCATCCAAAAATGTTTATATTATATAATAATACAGAATTTGTTCAATAATTTTTCTCTGATTTCATTATTTTTGTTTATCACTCTCCTGCTTCATTTAGTTGAGTTAATAATGCCTGTCCATTTTTACCTTGCACTTTCTTCTATATAACTGTGGCCTTTTAAATAAGCAAATCTTCACTTTAATACACATCACATTAGCTGATGTGCATTAAATAAATTGTATTTTAACTAATACAACTAATTTAAGTGCAGTTTCCATTTTTAAATATTCAAGATTTNAAATCAATTATTATTCTATTATGGTTATTTATACATTTACAACTACAATATGCATTTTTCAGTGTTTTCCTTACTATAGTTATTTTTTTAATGTACAACTTAGCTTTAATTTGAGTGTGTTTTTTGTGTTGGAACGAATTATTTGGTTTTACGTGTAATTGTATGGGGAAAAATGATTCACCTTACTACATTTTCATGATACGATCTGAGTTTCGGAACGGATTAATTTCGTATCCTGAGGTACCACTGTATATGTCTGATGTTATTGGGCAGTATGGCTTGAACAGGTCTACAGTAGGCCACAGTTCAATCTTATCTAAGAAAAATACTGTATAATCAAGAAGACTCAAGCAGCTTAAAGGAGTAACAAAAATCACATCTGAGAAATAAACATTGAAGAGCTCATAATAGAACCTGAAACTGATCTGACAACAGAAGAACACCAAAAAACTCTTGAATGGAGAACACCAAGAAACACAGCAAGATATGTTTTCTTCTGAAAAAGAGGATTAATGTCGATATCTACTATTAAAGATCTTTTGAAGAAGTGGGAGGATGTCAGAACAATGATCTTCAAATGACATTCAAATGAAAGAATGACATTCAAACCAGGTTGAGATTAATAGGCTTGGGGGATCTCTATGATTACAATGCTATTAATTACTTCTGAAAAATCCTGAAGAAGAGAGGAAGCAATCGACATTGGACAGATTCTTTAACCCCGACAAACAGAAAAAACAGAAAAATAAAAATGCAAGATTGTGTATATATGTATTTTTATTATTGCATATAAATAAACGCAGTAAGAAAGTATATATATTTTTATTTTTTGGGGGTCTCTAGAATGAATTAATCNAAGATTGTGTATATATGTATTTTTATTATTGCATATAAATAAACGCAGTAAGAAAGTATATATATTTTTATTTTTTGGGGGTCTCTAGAATGAATTAATCAAATTCCCATGAAGACCTATGATAAATTGATAATTGGTTAACAAACAATTTGGATAGCGAACAAAGTCTTGGAACGGATTATGTTCATTAACCGATCACTCACTGTATAAAAAAAGTTAAGAAATGCAAACAGTTGATGTTTTTCCACATAACTTCTAACAAAATAGAATTTTTTACTAAAAAAAAGACCCCATTATAAAATGCTATAGTCTATTAATAAGGTTTTGTGAAAGAAAGTAAAAATATAATCCCTGTGTGCTAAAGTCATCAAGACATATTTTGTATTAGACGGTGCTATGTTGGCGAGTTTCACACACTTTTGGTCAAAGGTCACTGTCTTGTTTGGTGTGCTGCATCCCTGTGTGTCATGGTGTCTCCCCTCTCCTTCAGCTTGTATTCATGTTACGTATAACTGTGTATTTCTGTGCATCGTTAGATTCATTTATTTGCTTCATTTTCTGACAGGTTTTNTATATTATATAATAATACAGAATTTGTTCAATAATTTTTCTCTGATTTCATTATTTTTGTTTATCACTCTCCTGCTTCATTTAGTTGAGTTAATAATGCCTGTCCATTTTTACCTTGCACTTTCTTCTATATAACTGTGACCTTTTAAATAAGCAAATCTTCACTTTAATACACATCACATTAGCTGATGTGCATTAAATAAATTGTATTTTAACTAATACAACTAATTTAAGTGCAGTTTCCATTTTTAAATATTCAAGATTTTTATATTTGATACTTGATGTTTCATTTATTTTGAAAACATTAGATTTCTGTAAAACAGTCTGATGTTGACTATTGAATATGGTTGAAAGAATTAGCTGATTTTCATTAAAGTGAAAGTTTGCTGATTTAAAAGGTTTTAGTGTATTTTTGTTTTTGTATGTCTACTGAAGCAGTTAAATTCTGCATCAGTTATTTTTTCTATATTTTATGAACATGTTTTCTAGAGCAGGTTTGTCAATAACTTCAAATTGAAATTTGATTTCAAGTATAAATACATTTGAATAAATATTTATAATAGTGCTAATATTACAGATTTTTCAATGTTGACAACATTTAGAAATATATTAATATATTCAAATGTATTTATACTTGAAATCAAATTTCAGTTTGAAGTTATTGATGAACCTGCTCTAGAAAACATGTTCATAAAATATAGAAAAAATAACTGATGCAGAATTTAACTGCTTCAGTAAACATACAAAAACATACATGACAAGTAAAAAATAAAGTTTCATATTAAACTTTAAAAATTTGTTATCAATGAATATGGATTTAATTTGTGATTTTTATTATTAATTGTGAGATTCCAAACTGAACTTGTACTTTCTTCTGACAAATTATAGTTTCTCAGTTTAAGATGCTATTATAAATCTGTATAAAAATAAACTAAAACACAACAATTTTCACAGAATATAGAAATTGTAACCCTCTCTAAATGTACAGAATTATTGAACTTTATTCTCTTAAAAAGAATTTTAAAAGGAGAAAGATGCAAAACTAAAAACCTTTATTTATTATTAAAAACTTAAATATTTGAATCTTTATTTAACCTATAACCTTTTAGTTTCCTGGCTGTTATATAACAGAGAGATGAGAGGTCAAAAAAATGATTTTACAGTTTTGGACTTGAGACTTTTAAACATTGAGAAATGCAAATGCAATTTAGGAGATTTTTTCTGTATGTATGGATATTAGTGTATGGGGCATGATTTTTTTCATAAACTTTGAAACTTAATAACTCCTGTGTCTTTCATTGAAAATGTCTGAAATTTTGCAGGAAGATTTGTATATTAGGGGATTGGTGCTATTAAATTTTGGTGGTTAAAGGTCTAAGGAGTAGGATGATAGGGAGTCGTGTCATATCTTCAGTATGGCCAAACTTAATGAAAATTTTATTTACTATTTGTATTTACAATTTTTGATAAAACTCAACTTTAACCTCAAAATTAAGCTTTCTGCTATTTTATAATAATTAGTAATATAAAAATTTTTATATAAAATAAAATATTATAACAGATGCACCTACACACAATTTTAAATGTTTTTGCTGGAAAGTTATGCAACTTATCGCTGGATTTTCACTTTGAGCATTGTAAAGACACTGTTGATCACTATTTGGAACATTAATTTTTTGTGGTATATACTTTGAAATAAATATATTTTTCATGTTTAGTCCAGTTTTTTTTTTTCTGGGCATTAACAGATTGATGCAAATTTTATTAGAGGAAGTTCATCCAGTGTTGGACACCTAAGGTTTTTCAAAATTGATAGCAAAGTGATAGACAAATCATAAAAATAATACAGTCAGGTTATAGATAGATATGTATTTCAATAGTAAACTGAACAAAAGAAAAAATTTAACAGTATATATTTTTAAAATTTAAAATAAAAATACCATGGAATTCAGACACTATAAAAAAAAAAAAAAAGATTAAGAAGTTTTAAAAAATTTGTCCCTTGAAAAACTTCTATATCAAGTTCTACTTTATATGAATGGTTAACAGAAAATAATAATAAATATATATTTAAAATTATCTTATATCTATTACTAGAAAAATTTAATGATGTAGAATGATAAACTGTATGTTGAAAATACAATTAAGATCCAACATGTCCAATACAATTGTAAAATATGTTCAATAGTATAAATATTTTTTAAAACAATTCTTTTAAATCTAGAAATTAAAAAAAGAAATATTACAATTTAATATTTTATTGCTTTTTGTATTTTTAATTTTTTAGAATTTAAGCTCAAATTAAAACATATATGAACTGTCATATTATCATACATAGATATAATTATGAAACAAAATCATTGTAATTTCTTATTTATAAATAGGAATATGAAATGTTAATAATAAAATATCTTTATTTTATTTAAATTTAATTCATTTTGTTTAAATTTTTAAGCATCAAATGATTTTAAAATAAACTCTCTAATAAATTACAGGATGCTATGGCACAAAATAAAATGAATGTTTTCCATTGGCATATTGTTGATGATCAGTCTTTTCCATATGTCAGCAAAGCATTTCCTAACTTGAGTGCTAAAGTAAGTAAGAATAAAATACATAAAGATATGGTAAATGTTTTAGAATTAAAATTTTACACTGGAAATACTGAAAATAAAACCAAACAATAAAATATGTGTTGTCAAAAGTTATGTAAGCAGTAAAAAACACTCCAGTTTTACTTTTAATGGAGTAAATTCCAGTTTTATAAACTTTTCCTTTCTATAAGTTTGAACTTTTGATTTAATGCAGTTAATTTTTACTATTTGATATTATTTTCGGGTATATGTAAGTTCTAGTTAAGTGATCTGAATCACCATCTATAGTTCCAAATATTTAAAATAAATTAATTATGCAAACTAGTATAATTAATTTAGAAAATGAACATTTTAAATATTTTAGGGTGCATTCAATCCAAAAACACATATATATTCAGTGTCTGATGTAGCTAATGTAATCAACTATGCCAGAGAAAGAGGAATTAGAGTAGTACCCGAATTTGACACTCCAGGTATGATGATCTGATATCTTGTATTCTAGATTATAATATAAATTAATAAATTCTCTAACTCTGTAAATATATTAGATTAATTAATATGTTCACTTAGAGAAGTCTACAGTGCCAGCACTTTGTACTGACCCACTCATGAGCATTGTGAAAGTTGTATTTAATTTTAAGGAAGTTTTTTTATTATTTATTTACATTTGTAAAAATATTATTTTTACATAATTTCTTTGACTTATTTGCATATATATACAGTAAACAAACAAAATATAAAATTTTTTTGCATACAGCTAGTAATACCCCACTTTGGAGGATGTTCTATACATTTTTTTTTATGTTCCTCTTAGTTGCATTATTTTAATGATAAATGATGTACTTGTGATGATAACTAAATTTCAAATTTGCATTAAAAAAATACAGTATAGAGTATAAAAAATAGAAATCTGCTGTTTTAAAGTTTTAAATCATGGATAATAGAATATGATTGTTTTAAACAAAACAAAATCAATTAATATATTTGTCCTTCAACTTATAAAATGTCTCATCTGAAAAAGAGGTCACATTTAAAGTAGGATTAAATTTATTAGTATTTACTCACTGTATTCTTTATCTTTTATAAAATTGTATTAATCTCTTTGTCTAAAAATGTTAAGCTGCAGAAATTATTGTTGTTTACACATTTATGACAAGTAAAAAATAAAGTTCTGTTTTTAGTTGTTATATCTTTCCTAAAACAATGTTTAAATACAATTAATTTCTTATTTTTTCTTTATAAATGAACATATTTATAGTATTTTCCAAATTTCTTTTTATATCTCAGTCTGCATTTTCTTCCCATTTCTTGCTTTGAATTTAGTGGAAGTTGCTAAACGGTGTCCTTTTAATAACCATATTTTTATCTTTCCCTTCCAAAATATTATCATTAGTGCTTCTCCATATTTCATTTCTTAACAAGAACATAGTGGAGAAAGACAATTACCAGAGTATTATCCACTCATCTAAAGGTGGCCTCTGACAAAAGGTGGCATCCCAATCCTATTTGCTTGTTACATAACTCCCAATCAACACTTGGCATTTATTGTGGCCAATAGTGTGCTCAAGTTTATTTCTTTTTATTGTGCTAGTCACCAGACTTCTCACTTGAAAATATAATTTTTTTTACTGAGTAATTGCCAGTACATACTGGCTATTGATATATTTTTATGCTGTCTGCTGATATGGCATACTGATATCTTCTCACATTTTAAGAAAAAATAAGCTTATTATTAATATTTTAAACAAATAAAATAAAATGAAGGATTTTATTATTTTTAAAATTTATAATCATTAAAAAATTAACTTTAACTATTCATTCATATTTTAAAATATTAAGAAAACATAAATTAAAATAAATATTGTAGAATATTTATAAGAATTTTTTACATATTAAGTTTGTTTTCTTTTTATTTAAATCATAATTGAGGATTTTATTAATAATTTAGGTCATACATTATCTTGGGGAAAGGGACAGCCTGACTTATTGACACCCTGTTATAAAAATGGAGTACCAGACGGTACATATGGACCAATTGATCCAACTGTAGAAAGTTCATATAAATTTCTTAATTCATTCTTCTCAGAAGTTGCAAAAGTTTTTCCAGATACTTACTTTCATTTAGGAGGAGATGAAGTTAGCTTTGATTGTTGGTAATGAATAAATTAATAATATATAAATTTAGTAAATAGATGGCTTAATTCATGCAGAAAAAATTATTTGAAGTATTTTCTGTCATAATTTAGCCATTTGCATAACTTATTATAAACGTATGAGTTGCCAGAATTAAACTAACTGTTCTCATCATTATGGTACTAAATTTTGTTGACTTTTATTAATAACATTTATTGTAAATATATTCTGTATGATTTCATTCAGTTGTATATATGTTAATTTTTATATCTCTGAAGAAGATAAATGATATTTTAATTTATCCATTCTTCAAATTACTAGTCTTCAGTAAACATTATAATGTACATAAAGTTCATAATTTAATAATACAAAGAAATTGCTTTATTTTCCTTAGTAAATCAATGAGATAGCTACGTGGTAATATTAGTCTTCTTGTCTTGGTAATGCTAGTCTTCTGTTGTGGAAGATTTGGATTCAAATATGATGTATGCTGTATGCTGTACATTTTATTTTAGTAGTATACATGTGTGTGTGTGTGTGTGTATACTCATCNAAAAATTTTGTAAAATACATCTATGCTGTACCATTATATGTCAAGTAAGCAATTTTATGTTATCATCACCTCGCGTTTTTAGTTATGTTCCTACTAACCAATACCGTAAAACTAACCTTAAATTATATTTTTTTGTGTAATCTTAACAGCACTGAAGAGGGGTTGGGAATATAAGCCAACCCAAAATGCATATGAATTAGGAATTTTTTAAATAAAACGTACGTTTTCTAACCAATTGCTGTCCGTTCGTCTACCAACTCGTTTTAGATTACACAGACGCTACACACTGCACAAAAATTATTTAATTATTCATATAATAAATCATATTTATACAATATATAATGTGTTTTCCATTCTCTAGAATAAAAACAAAATTAAATCTTTATGTGTTGATAAGTATTTACTGAAGATGAAAGTACTGAATTATAATGTCTTTGAAATGTAGAAAAAAAGTAATTAAATTGATTTAGTCAAATAATGATAATTAATAACAATAAAAAATATGAATTATATCAGTGTCTAAAATAGAAATAACAATTTCAGTATAAGTTATAAAAATTCTTATAACATTTAAGCAAAATGTTTTCAGTTGAAATGAGATCATAAATATTGTTGACTAACCTTAAACTTGTCAATTTCTCTAAACATCAAAATTCTTTCAGCCTTTCTATGTTTATTTTTTAAAATTTGTATTATAACTTGTAAAAATACAAACACCAATAACTTTTTAAATCTTCCATGTTTTGAAACTGTGTCGTATCTTTGTTTGTTTTATAAATGCAATGTAGCATAATAACGATCACTTGGCACTGAACATTCTTTTATTTCAATATTTGTTGACGAATATTGAAATAAAAGAATGAATAGTGCCAAGTGATCATTATTATGCTACATTTTGTTTATAAAACAAAAAAATACTTTTTAAATATTCATACTTGAAATATTTAAGTCTGTTTAGAATACTAATAACTGTGTTTTAATTTTAATGTACTGTACATGTTATACCAGATACTAGTTTTATTCAAATAATAACCACATCTAGTATTTGAGGATTTCTGAAATCTTTGGGAAACAATGTAAAATTGATAAATGTCCATAAACTCTATGATCAGTAGGTACCATATTTATTTTACAAACAAATTTGCATATTTTATTTTCTATTATAAATTTACAATAGACGTGTTTTTTTAAAATTATTTTATTACTAATATTTAGAAAGTATTAATAACACTCATCTATATATATATATATAAAAATGGACATGCGTGTCCCTATATTTCACTTTTCAGCCAAAACTACACATCACACATGAATGGTGTTTGTATGTGGTAGTAGCCCCAAGTCTCCATTCATGCACTATGGTGGTTGCGTCTCGATAGCTATAAGGGTGCGGGAGATTTGGGGGCTTAAAGTGTTTGACTTTGAAGATTTTCTGTTTCGATTTTAAAAATTTTCAAATTTAAATTCGAATTGGTTCAATTTTAGAACGATTGTAAATGTTCCAGAAAATTGATCAAATTGAAAATAGTTCGTTTGACTGGACATAAAAATTCTTTAATTAGTCTGGAAACAGGGGATCTAATTCTTGCATTCTGTGAAAATGGGTAAGATCAGCTATAATGTAATTATCTTAATCTTCACCCACAAATAAAAACCCAGCGAAGCGGGTCCTTGCAGCTAGTTGTAAATAAAGATATCAGTTGCATTTCAAATATAATTTATGTTAAAAAGTCAATTTTCATTGATAAATATTTAAATACTTTATTAATAACAGGCAAATCGGTGTATGCAAAGGAAATAATAACTGTCCTTGAATAGTAACCATAGAGAATATGCAATTTTAAATAGTAGCCATGGCTATTATTTGAATAAAATTGGTATATCATATAAATATTAATGTTTTGCATTGATAAAATTTATTTTATTCAAAGAAATTAATCACAATTTGATTAAAATTTCAGGAAAAGTAATCCAAATATCACTGCTTTTATGAAAAAACAAAAATTTGGAGATGATTATTCAAAATTAGAAGAATATTATGAGACAAGGTAAATGATATCTAAATTTTTCTTATAACAATTAATGAACTCTTAAAATATAAATAGAGATATTTTCATAATAAATATTGTGCTGATGTTAAATATATTGCATTGCAGTAAACAAATGTAATACAAAATGTAATGATGGGTATTTACATAAGAATGGAAATTTGAATTATTAAGACTTTTAATTTAGGCTAATTAACAAATTATAATGGAAGGAATTATACAATCCAAGTCTTGACATAATAATAATATATTAATTCTCACTCCTATTATTATTTTACATTCACTTCACTTCATTAATTAGCATTGCTGTTAATAACAAACTGGTAACTAGGATAGAATTACAAATTTTTCTAGATTGTAAGTTTTAATAATTTTTAAAATATAAATTGGTTTTGTTAGATATTGAATTTTTTAAAATGTTATTTTAATCTTATAATCAAATTTCTACTTTTTTCTTCATTATTAACTTGGCATGAACCTTTAGAAATTTGCTGAATGGTTTGTCATTGTCAGCTTGAATCTGATAAACTAGTCAGCAGAAATGACAAAGTAGGACAGTGACAAGTTGGTTCAGTGTTTAAAATTATACTGAATTAACAAATGTAAATCACTCATGCTATCATGTAGTTAGTTAGTTCAGCATAAAATAGAATGTTCATTGAAATGACAATGATTTGGTAAATTCTTTATTTAGTATGCAATAAAAATGTTAAAGAAGTTTTAATAATTTCATATAAAGAAAATGAACAAAATTTTCACTAAAATTCAATTTTAAAATGCTGTAAAAATTATTAAAAGTAAGCAAATTATTTTTGGACTCTCTATAGAATTAAAATACAATAGACCCTTGTAATATTATTGAGGAATGATACAAAGTATGTTTGTAATCATTTACAATTATCATTGTCAAATTTTCTTTATAAAAACAGTAAAGTTGATTCTATGACTAGGGAAATAAATGCTGGAGGTTACAAACACGATCCAATTAGAACAATGTTAACCAAATTATATCTTGTTTATATTATTTAGGCTTTAATAAAATTGGCTTTGCTATATGTTATTTCACTTAATAGATTCTTGGGAACTATGGTACTGACAACGTTACAGGATAAATTTTTGTATGTTTTAATACACTTTAAAAAGAGATTATCAGAAAGTAATTTCAGATACCTTATAAGTGTGTTTCTATGAAATGATTTAGATTATTAAATATATGGATAGTTTTTTTAATATTTTTGTGATTGTACAAGTGAGATAATTCTCAAACAAAAGGTAGATCTGATAATTAATAAATTTTATTATTTTATCTGTAAAAAATTACAGTATTGCTTGCTTTTCTTTTGAAAGCAGCATTGGGGAATTGAAACAAAAATATAACATCAATTTGATTCAGATTTATAGAGTTGATAGAGGAACTTAATGCTCTATAACAGATAATCTTTTAAATTAATACGTTATTTTTTATAATTTATAAAAATCATATCATTTCACATATCTTGGCCAGACAATATGCAATACTTAGTTAAGGCTCTGGAAAATTTAAGAATTCAAGAATCTCTTTTTAGTAATACACAGTGAACTTGTCAAAATTTATCTATAATCTATTAAAAATGCAAAGTATAAGGGACAACAACCCTGTCAAAATTTTTAAAATAAGCTGTAAAATTATGTAAAAGATTTTCTTTTATGATATACTCATTGACAAAAAAGTTATGCACCAAGACAAAATTATGAAATTTTGTAAAACTCAATTTACATAGTTCTAAATGATAACAGTTGTGGTCTGATTGCATGCCATGTAATGGTGTTCCAGTATTCTATAAAAAAAAAAAAAAAGGCTGGCAGACACTCATTGTGTTCAGGAATTTTCAGTTTTCCTGTTGTTTGGAGGTCTTCAAATACCAGGTGTATCTGTACAATGCCGTCAGACATTATATTACAGTTAATAAGGCAGCATTTTCCAGACTCTCAAATTAAGGGAAGCAGAATGACCAGTTTGCTGAATTGCCTGCCATTTAGATTCTTACAACCTGACTGTGACAGGATTTTGGTAATAGCAGATTCATGAGGGCATATACATGCCTTAGACATCTAGAGTCTGCCTGCCATGATCACATCACCTGGTGATCTGAAACAGCTGCAACTGTGCCTTTATCTACTATCCAAAGGTAGGTGGAATCCTGTCACTTCCCAAAAGTTTGGATGTACTGTACATCAACTGATATGCCTCTCTATCCAGGCAAGAGGTGATCTTGCAAAGTAGTACATGTTTTTTAAACTGTATTTTGTTCACAGAGAATTGTCCTTTTGCCAAACTTTCATTTGATTCCAATGCATTCTTATTTGTTAATGAGTGTATTACTTCTTGTAAGTAGAGAATATAATTATAACAATTTTGAACTTGTAAACTAATGCAAATTGACCTCTGTTTATAAGATAGATAAAAGTTAACAAAAAATAGATACTTCTGCCACTTTAGTATTCTGTCAGGAAGCCTAAGTTCCAATCTTTCTATGTGAATATTAAATGGTACTATCCAAGTAATTGTCATTAGGCTATGCAAATAATGAAAATTAATTTTCAGTAAGAACACAACAGTTCCTAGCATTTCATTAATTCTGGAACAACTCAGCTAGGCTAAGTTTACTGATTTGCATTTCAGTTATAGTAGTGCTAATGAAAACAATAGAGCACAGAAAATCACTGAAATAAATTTGTTAACTGAAGGTGTTCCTCATCATTCAGGTCTTCACTTTGATCATTGTTGATTGTGAGAAAATGGTTCATTCATAGACAACAGTGATACTGGCTGCCCTTGTATAGTCTTCACACCACAACTAGAAAAAGTATTACAATGATTTGAAAATGATGCCTCTATTAGAACCAGAGCAATTGCCAATAATCTCCATGTGAACTGAAGGATAGATTAAAAATTGTTCATGTGATGACCTTCCATACTATCATCCTGTATGTATACATATTTTTCTGAACTTTATTTTGCACAAATTGAATTTTCTAGTTGGTTTCTTTGCCAAAGCAGATAACTTCTAAATTTTATAAAACTGTCATATTTTACTGATAGTCTTTTTCACTTAAGGGAGTGGTACAGTTGTATTTGGGCACATAAGAACTCATGAGTAACATTTACCCCTAAACATCAACAATGCAGTTATACTTATGCTATCACAACACTTTTTCTGGGGGAGTCATATAAAAACAATTGTTCTGCACACAGATATGGCTTAAACCAATTGCTTGGTTTAAGCCAGAACTATTGCATCATCAGGAACAATTCAAAAACAATCACACATTTTTGAATATGTAAATGAGTGGGATTTTATACTACACACCATAATGTTTTGTGAATCTGTAGTTTGTTTTAATCGTTCTACTACATTAAATTTTTTATAATGAAATTAACAGTACTAAGCTTTACAAACCAGAAGAGGCTTCCCAATAGAACATGGGAGTTGCAAAAGCAACCCTCCTTTTCAGTAAACTTTGAATTAATTTACAAGATATAAATACAGTTGACCCTCCCTATAACACTGTTGATAATTCCATTTTATATGAATTCCATGTTGTATGAGTCAGTTAGATTTTACAAATATGTGAGCCATTCACAGCCCGGCTCACATACTTCTAAAATCTAAGTGACTAGGGGGGTCAACTGTATTAGGTCAATTTGATCCATTGTAAGGTTAAAATTGTCTATAATTGCTTCCTCTACAACTAACTACACAACTTTTGAGTATTGATACATTTTATTTTTAAACAGAATATTGCAATTAGCTTCTGCTTTGAAGAAAAGTTATATTATATGGCAAGAAGTGTTTGATAATAAAGTTCAGGTAAGTAAATGTTAGTTTTGAAAAAAATAAGTACTTGTTAGATAGATCATAAATAAATATTGTCTAATATTTAATTCAATAATTTGTTTAGTTTGACATAAACTTTACATTCTACTCACAAATCAAAAACAGACCTGCTTAATGTTGTATCCAAGAAAACATTATTAACATTTTTAATAGGAGGACAATCTTAATCAGGCTCCATATTTGGTAAGACCAGGCCTGATACAAAAAATAATTCATGAGTTAATTACTGTTTTATAGCTGACATCATTTACTTTGTTATCTATATATATAAAATTGCTTGTCCTGACTGACTGACTCACTGATTCATCATCACCCAGAGCAGAGGTGAGATTTGGTACACAGTTAAGGTACGTCATGAAAATGCACACTAAGAAGGGATTTTTCAAAATTTTCCCGCGGGGGAGAGGGAGAGGATTTAGTCTTCGAGTACTTAGGTGTATTAAATTAATAACATTTCAGACATTGTTATAAATATTTTTATCTATTTCAATTTTAAAAATGTTCAAACTGTTTTAAATTCGAATTTGTTATTGCATATTGGTTCGATTATAGAATGATTGTAAACATTCCAGAAAATTGATCAAATTGAAAATAGTTCGTTTGATTCTCAGAAACTCTCATCATTCTCGGCAGTAGGTGTTATATAACAATTACTATGGTTGTTGAAATACTGAATATAAATGGGGTTTGCTTGCAAAATCTGTGCGGGCAAAGCCGCAGGTAACAGCTAGTTAAATATATTTACAAAAAGCTAATCATAACAATAGTAAATTGTAAAGTGTTTTAAAGCTTGATTTATTTTTGATTCTATACAATCCATGTAAAAATATCACATGCATGTACAAACTCTATGATTGACAGATGAAATCTGTCATTCATGCAGTTTATGACTGATTCAAATGTAACTTGGTGGACATGATTACTCAGTACCATCCTTCTATTTAACATGTACTTAGGCTGTTAAAAGCAATACACTATTAGATGGATGTGTCCACCCTCTATGACAGGTGTGTAAGAATAATAGCATACATCAGCAAATGCAAATTGACTTTAAATGTAAACCTGTACAAAATAGCCAAAGATATAAAAGAACATTTGAAATATGAGGTGTCAGAATGTCATTAGATGTGCATTGTATTGTTTACTTTGAGGTTGTAACGAGTTGAGGAAAGGCTCTCTGAATTGGAGAAAGGCAAAAATTGAGGGATTGCTGATGTGTGATGGCACACAGGGAAATTGCAGAAAAGTTTGATTGGAATAGAAGTACTGTGTTGAAATATGCTCCCTTCAGGGACACACGAATGTGAGAGGCCGGACTTGAAAAGAAAATTTTATTCAAAAATTTGGTTCGGAAAAAATAAAAGATCGCTACGGATATGATTATATCCTTTCCCACGGACTTCCCTGTTTGAGAGTGACACATTGAATGTGTCACTAGGAATCAAATGCGAAAAATCGCCATTGGACGTGAAGAACGATTTTACCAAAAAAGGACAAGAATTACGAGGGGGAGGACCCCCAAATAAAGGAGAAGGTTTGATGATGCGACAGAGAGTTCACCCGACAACAGAGTTTGCATCCTCGAAGGTTGGTTGTGTGTGTACCCTCGGATACATTTTACCGCCGATGCTCCTCCAATAGCCAGTGATCAGAAGCTTAACTGCTGATAGCCCATGAGTCCAAGTACCCACCAAGAACATGTCTTCACTGAAAAAGGACCCAATTCAAGAAAGCGATCTTCAGATAAATACCATGCGCGAACAATTGTAAATTCTCTCTCTAAAAGCATAAGTGTAACTAGTTTAGGCCTATATAATTAAGAAACAGATATTAATTTCTATAAGCAAATTGTAAAGCGCATTTCTTTAGCCTAATTGGTCTTTATCCCGAGTCCAACCGCCCACAGACGCGACTGCTATTGGCATGATATCAGGGAGGAGGAGGTGTGTATTCCCAATGAGTAGCTAGATATGGGTGGTCTTTGGACAGAGCCTTATTTGCACAATGTGGAAAGACAGATGTAGTTGTACTTAAGGATCACAATAACTTTAAAATGTACCAGTTCAACATATGGTGGAAAACTGGGAAGAGATAACTGCATCTTCTAACAGGATGGTGGCATTTTTCATTAATCACATCAACAAGAGACTACTTCCATTTAAAAGAAGTACACCTTGAATGGCCAGCATTCTAGACCTTAATGTAATTGAAAATTTCTGGAGAGGCCTTGTTCATCAGGTTTATGCAAACTAGAAACCAATTGAGCACAATCAGAGTATTAGAGTTGGCAATCAAAGCAGTTTGGGAAGAAATACCACTGCAATGTCTTCAATCTTTGATTACATCTATGAAGGATTGTATTTTCCATATATTAAATGAGGAAATATCTAATCTTAATGAAAAAAGATTGGTGACTATTTCATATGTGGTATTATTCTCAAATACGGCCATCTAGTGAACCAAAACTTAGAGAGCACTATATTATGTTAAATGGAAGGGTGGTGCAGAGCAGTCACGTCCACCAAGTTTACATTCAAATTGGTTGTAAACTGCATGGATGACGAGAGGAAAATGCATGCAAGTGATATTGTTTTTACACAGACTGTATAAACTTTTGATGTCATCTAGTAACAACTGTATTAATGAGTGTGCGTCCAATTGAAGATTTTTCAAATTATAAAATTCTAGAAAAGGAAGTATGAACATGTTTCTTAGAACTAAAATCAAATGGAAGTTTCAAAAAGGCAAATTTATTGAAACATGTTAGATAAAAAACATCCACATAACAAACTTTACATTCAATTCTGTTTTTAATTTTTTTGAGTGAAAGTTTTCAGGGACCATCCTCTTATCCAGGTAGAGATCAATAAGTACTTTTGGTTCAATAAATTTCATTACTCTTTCTATCTGACCAATAAAATAATCTATTTTTTGTATTCAAATAGGAGAATTACTTAAGTGTAATATAATACAATATTTTAGTTTGTTTTAACAACCATAATTGTTTTTATTTGAATGTTTTCTGGAACACTATTTTTTACATTTTTACTCATTTTAAAGAAATATAGTTTCAATGAACATCAAGTGTGTCTATTAATACTGTTTATAATCAAGTATGAAATATCAACTCAATATCGTCAAATCCATCGATCTTCAGTTCATTTGTCACAAAATTGATTGGTTAGCCAATCATAACTGAAATTCAACTGTGAAGAGTATGTTAAGAGTCAAAATTAGAAAGATTTTGTGGATTAAATTATCTTATCATTCAAGGAAAGTCAACAACTACCCTACCTGCAAAGGGTCCACTATCTGACCAATTAGAACATGACATTCTGTATACTTAACAGATTTTATTGAACTGTGCATTATTATAAATCATAAACATATACTTAGGAGGTTTCCACATGTGCTGATTTTGAATCTTTGTTCCATTTTCCCTTGAAATCTGACTGATTACCTATTGAAATCCACCTGCAAAAATTATCATCATCATCAAGAATGGGGGTAAAAAGAGAATTGTTTATTAAAGTCACTTCTGCTAGTTATCGTACAAGGGGTGTCCGATATTAAAAGTATAAGCCAAAATTACACTAACATTTTTTAATTATAAATGTTAGTTTATTTTGGCTTGTACTTTTAATATCGGACACCCCTCATACCTTATTATCTACCACTAAATTTTAGAGGCTGAGTGTGAACAGGTAATAAGATCTTGAGTTTCAAAAACCAATAAGAATTTGGCTGCAAAGAAAGTGATTAATAAAAATTACCTTACTTGCTTATGAGAGTACAGAATACAGAGAAATCAGAAATGGGTGATAATTGCTGTGAGAGTAGTTGTTTTGGGGTCTACAATAAATAAATTCAGAAATTGAATTCTCTGGCTAGATTTATTTTAGAAGCTCTTTCCACCATGTGGGCACTAAGAGAGAAAATAACACATTTCAATATTATTTGTTCTCATAGGGTGGAGAAAGTAAAAAACAAAAATATGCATTCATTGTTTCACAAAAGAAGAAATTGAAAATTTCTCAAAAAGAAAAACAGATGTGGTGGGACATGCATTTCTAAGAATTAAAAAAATGCAATATTTTCTATCCATTGTTGTTTGGGAATTTGATATAATCACTTGTTTGTTCAGTTTTAGCTTTAATGTATAATATGATAAAATAAATAATGTTACAAATTTTATTCACTGTACTGCTATTTCAATATAATAAATATTTATTAAGGTAAAACCAGATACAGTAATTCATGTCTGGAAAAATCCTCAAGCAGAAGAATTGACTAAAGTCACAGCTGCTGGTTATCATACCTTATTATCTACATGCTGGTACCTTAACTACATTAATTATGGCAATGATTGGACATCATTTTATACTTGTGATCCGTATGCTTTTAATGGTTTGTTACATGAATATAAATTTGATTTTATTTACTAATTCTAAATGCTAAAATATCCACTTTTTATACATTATTATTATTAGGTACAGAAAAACAAAAAACATTGGTGTTAGGAGGCGAAGCATGCATGTGGGGCGAATATGTTGATGGAATTAACGTCATGAGTAGAACATGGTAATTTGACAAAGTTTTATTCTGTTTGCCAATTAAATGTATATTTTAATTACACTTCAAATTAATATTAAGGCCGAGGGCTTCGGCGGTTGCGGAGAGATTGTGGAGTTCCATAAATGTAACAAACATTGCATCTGCCACGCCACGTCTAGAGGAACACAGATGTCGAATGCTTCAGTATGTAAATTTAAAATATAACTTAAAAAATTATATATATAATAAATATATCATAATTCATTTTCTTTTACAGGAGAGGACTGAAAGTAGAACCAGTCAATGGTCCAGGATTTTGTAAATGTGATTATATTGCAAAATGAAATCATCAAAATATAGATATTGATTATTATAATTATTATGTAATTAAAGTTCCTATATATAGTTATAATGTCACTATTTTAATATCAATACAGTAGATTATTTTGAAAACATTTTAAAGTTATAATAAACTTATAAAGTGCAGAAAATAATCTATAATAAATGTTATAGATTATTTTACTTTATAACAAATGTTCCAAAATCAATAACTGAATGGGATTAAAATATTAATAAAAGCAGTTTAATTATTGATTTTTTTTTTTATAACAACTTGGTCATCCAGATGATATCTTTGACAATGACAGCTAACCACTCTGGGAGACCTGCAAATGAATCTGTAGTTAGTGGTAGGGATGATCCCAGTCCCATCTGGCATACCCATTGTTGGTTCAGCCAAAAGCCCACGAGCTTGATAAAAAAGACTCTCTCAGTAGCCAGACTAGAAGGTATAAAAAGTCTGTCTTTTTTTTTTTTTTTTTTTGAGATAAAACTTTTGTTGACTCTTGTTGATGGGCAGATAGATACTAATTTATTGAGTTTCCTTAAGAGCTTTGGTCCAAGAAAAACAGTTGAAAAATTCTGAATTAATTAATTATTCAGGATATTATTCAAAATGAATAGAAAAAAATCTTGTTAAGGAAATTTCTCAAATACAAATTAATTTCCAGTCAAACCCCATTATTTTGTAAAATTAAAAATTTTACGTGGTCTTTGCTATGATTTATTTTGAGCTAAAAGCAATATAAACGTCAAGCATTTTATATATAATGATCCACACAGATTTCTCTGCAAAAAATATCCTGTTGCTAATTTACAGTAGGCCCTCGCTAATCTGATCCTCAATTATCCAGCATACCCTCCAGTATTATTGCCCACTTGCTTCTGTTTCCACAAAAATGTTAGTCAGGTTATGCACTGTTTTCCACTTTAGTTGGGTTTCGTTTTTGTGTGTATGGTATTGCACATCATTGCACTGTATTATTAGCTCACTTACCTCCAAAAAGAATGTACCAAAGGGTGATAGATCACGCCATTCATTGCCTTTGGGTAGGCTTTATGCGTGCATGCGCGCACACAGTCATTTCGCATTATTGCTAATCTGGTGGCCCATTATGCAACAAATGGCTGGATTAGCACAAGTCTACATATGAATTGCAATACAATAGTTTCATTATCTGAGGTTTGGAATTCTGTAAAAAAATTTAATACATACTTGTTAATACAATTCAAGATAAATGTTAAAAAATAAATTGCAACAATTATCATTTCTATATACATTATTTAACAAATTAAAATATTTGTAACTTGCATGTTTTTTAATTGAAATTATCTATCAATACTTTGCAAGCAATATAAGATACAACAGATTAATATTTTGACTGTTTGAAATATTTCCTACAATGTGTTAAACTATACATTAGAAGATTCAATTGTCATACAAATTCAAACATACTTCTTTTGTATTGTATGCAAAGTGATCATCAACATATTTGTCTACAAAATATGAAAAGCTCATTTATTTTCATAATAATAATAATTTATGAGATTTTACATGCTCCTAATATTTCTAGATCTTTATGATGCATTTTCTCTCTTACAATACTAGGACTTAAGCGCAAGTGTTCTGATGAACTGTTTTGAAGATATGAATCATTTATTTTGAAAGTGGTGTAAGTCCATTTTTTCTTCTTTCAAGATATTTAAACATTTGCATTTTAGTTGATTCAAAAATATAAAGTGTACTAAGTTTGACAATGTTTTTATGACACTTTAGAAATATGTAAGTTGATTGCATAAAGACTTCCATGTGAATTTAACTAAACTAATATATTCTTTCTGGACCATAAATGGACTTACACCACTTTCATAATTATTGAACTGTAAAATTCAGTAAATTTCTATTATGTAAAACTCAATTTCACTTGAAAACATTGTTTTTTATTCTGATTTTGTTTATATATAATAACGAGAAATAAAATATTGTTGTTTATTCTGAACATTAAAAATATTTACTTATTGTTAAACTATTTTATGATAAGTTTATCATTATTATGAGCTTATCATTAGATAATGTTTTTCCTTTAGGTTCATTACATGGATTTTTTTTCCATTCCATCAAATTGTACATTTGTTGGTAAAATTCCTCTGCTGTAAGGAGCTGTCCATGTCTTGAGGGGGGTTAAGCATTAGTGGACATCCATTTATTTCATTAAATTTTATATAGTTTATGCATTTTATTATATTTATTTCAAAGTTTCTTGTGTTTCATTTCTATTTATGGTATCTATCATTCATAAAGTGATGAAGGTTTTAACGGGATTTGAGTTAGGTTGGACTTCCAAAGAGGGGAAGGGGTTATGAAAACTTGGACAAACTGGAACAAGAGGGGGGAGTAAAAGTTTCAAAAAAAAAAAAAAAAATGAAGATGTGACAGCCCATGAAGACAGCCCAAGTGATTAGACTGCAGAAAATGGACTTCACCACTTTTATAATCAATGGTTATGCAATGTCATTTATTTGATGAATTTTCAATTGATCAAAGAATATGTTATTTTAAAATGCTGTGTGAATTGTTTATAAATAAAAAGTTCACAATAAACTGTATGTATACTATGTGATTTCTCTATTTTGAAAGTGATGTAAGTCCATTTTTGGAAAAAATTAATGGCCCATATAATGATCCAAATTCAATTCTGTCCTCAATATAAATTTTGTGCAAACTACTACTAAAACTTCTACTACAAAAATTTCAACTACACTTAACATACAGATTATACATTTTATAAATTAAAATATTAAAAGAAAATATTTCAATCCATAAGAGATTATATTCATGTAATAAAAAATGTTATTTCTATTACAGTAGAGCAGGGGTGGCCAAACCGTGGCGCATGCGCCAAACTTGGCACATTGGACGATTACAAGTGGCGCTTTAGTCAGTTCTGAGCAACATTTCCAGATTTGGCTTCTTAGCAATTAAGAATATTACATAGAAAATTAATTTTTTATAGTCTGTCTTGGCAAGTTCATTTGTTGCACAATTCGTTGCAATCAACTTTACAGATAAAATGAGTGTTCTCCACATAGTAAATTACAGTGTATGCATGTATGTTTATTTTCGATCAGTGCATAGGCGTCTAAATGACAGTGCTACCGTCCGGACAGTCCACGAGTCGGTTGGACTGCTACACCTGTTGACCTTTTTTTTTTTTTTTTTTTACGATTCACGATACATTCGCAATCGTGTATGCCACTAATGTCAAATGGGACTATTTTGTACGGGTAACTACACCACCACCGCATTTTTTATTAATTTTTTTTTCACACAAATGAATTTTGATCTTTTAAATTGAAATACCTGATTAAAGGGTGGCCGAAATTTTTCTCCGCCCCGGGAGGCTAACACCCACGGTACGCCACTGCGCATCTGAACTCGTCTATCAAAAAATTGGCGCATGGTATGCAAAAGGTTGGCCACCCCTGCAGTAGAGTATTGATTATCCGAATATTGATGAACTGAAAGCGTTCCAGTCAGCAAATTTAAATTTCTGCTAGTGCTGTGGAGCTGCAATATTTGGCTATGTCTTGGGCTACTCCAATATTATTTTTGTTGGTGTGCGTGTTTTAGCTGGCAGCACTGGCATGACCATGAGAAGGTACTTAAGGACATGCCAGGATTTGAAAAAATTTCAACATGGGATAGGTTAATATATTTTTTCATACATAATCGGTTATCTGAACAACCCCAGTCCCAAATTGTTTCAGATAATCGATGCTCTACTGTATTACTAAATACTGGCTCCATAAAGCCAGTATTGTTTGTTTCTTAAAATTTAAAAAAGTATTTATTAATTAAAAGCAGTTTAGATTTTAAAAATATCTAAGATATGAAATAAATCAGATTGGTTATGATGTACAAAAATGGGACTTTTGACTAGTCATAAATGTAACCATTACATCAGCAATGACAAAGTCAGGACTGACACCATTGTGACTGTTATGTTCATCTGTAAGTCTCAAGAGTGATTGGGTTTGGGACAGAGGAGAGACTTGATAGATGGCCCTCCGGAAACACTGCACTCCACTACACATTTAAACATTAACCAAATAAATTGTCGTTATTTAAGTTTATAAACTGTTTTACAAGGGCATGAAATTAGTGGATGAGTCTATTCCTACAAGCATGCTGAACTGAGAGAGAGTGTTTACAATTTTGGACCCAAGTTGATAAATACCTGGATGGTTAGTTGTGATGATCATGACTTCTCAAGAAGGGTCTCGTTCCATTGGTAATATTCAGGTACTTGTTCATCAAGTGGAGCAGTGAAAGTTCAGTGGAAAAGTCAAGTGGGAGTTCGGGAAGAGCAGCAGAAGACAGCGATGAGGTTAACACACACACTTTAGACAGGCAAACTTCGTGTTGTCTTCTGTCCTCTTGCCTTTTATTTGGGATCTCTACCAAAAATGGTACAGATCCTGGGATCTGCCATTCTACCATTTTTGGTAGAATTGATGGTTGCTCCAATCTGATTTTTTCTCCATTTCCCTCAATGAGTTTTTTGGAAGCTGTGTCACTCATGGAAGAAGTGTTATCCATGGGAAAATTTTATGCAGTCCTTGACTGCATTTGTGAAATGGAATACTTCTCCCCTTTTTTTGACCAAAAAAAAAAACAAGATTGAAATCATCAAATTTACACGTAGCCCAGTTTCTCATGTCAATGTTGCCTGAAAAAATTTGAAATTAGTTTGAGAAGGTTCCATAATGAGGCTTCTACCTCTCTGGATGGAGGACAAAGATGCCATTTGTTTGTCAAACAATCTTGTATCTCACGATCAATCATTTCTCATGTTAAGTCTAGGATGTCCAGAGCCCATCTGTCACAACATATTCACTGCCTCCATTCAGTCAGGTAAGAAGAGTCTAGATGGTGAGCAGTTTGGTGAAATGGTTCCCTTGGCCCAATGACATGGTCTTTCTCAAGCTCTCAGCCATGCATTTCTGTAGAATGCATGTCCTTGACTGCATTATACAGGCATGCCTGGTGTTTGAAGTCCTCCCAAAAAAAAAAAAAAAAAATCGAGCCTCTGCAAGTCTTTTTATTGGATACTTTCATAACAATTTTAAGGCATTCTGGTGGCATTATCTGGCATGCAATTATGTTGAGTTTTGTAGTATTTGAATAATTATCTGGGTGTGCAACATTTTTTGTTAATAAATAGCAAGGTTGTGGCCGATGTTTTCATCACTAAAATGTGTATGTCAGATGTTCAGCACCGCCTTCCTGTAAGCCTAGAAGTTTGACAATGGCGTTTGGTACATTGAGCATGATTCCACTGACGTTCCAAACGCCATTGTCAAACTTCTAGACTTACAGGAAGGCGGCGCTGAACATCCGACTTACACGTTTTCACGATGAAAACGTCAGCTGCAACCACTCTAATGTAGATTTTGAGTATTGATCTTTGAATACACATTTCTGGTCGTTGGGCTTCTTCAAACTCGGGCAAAATTTTCATTATTTTGAAAGTTGGTGTACAATATAGTAAACTGCTGGATATAGTAGTCACAGAACAATGCAGGAATTATAATTACAAGATGTGACAGAGCATCCTGTAATTATAATTCCTTGCAGTTGAAGGCAAACACTACTTTGGCTAAAATCTGAGTGAGGAGTCACTAGTTGCGAGCAAACTTGTGTATGGTGCACTTACCAATCCTGGTGGCATTAATTCCTATTACAATATTAGATTTTCTGTTCTTAATGTCTCAGGAGAAAATTTCCTATCATTATGCTGCTTTGGTAGTTGTAAAAATTTTAACTGTCTATTGCAGTCCGAAGGAATTCGATATTTGTCTTTCCTACCCTTTCTCTCCTGTGAATGGTTGAAAAGTAGTTTAATCTGGTTTGACAATTGCTAATTTATGTTGGAAGGACCATAACCATGTGAATGATAAGTGACAAGATCCACAAACCTTGATCTTCAAACATTTTAATGGTCATGCTATCTGAATTTCCATCCATCTTTCGCTTCCAGACACATGTAGTTTTGTATACGTATAACCATCCACAGTCACTTATGTTACCTAAATGCTTGTAAACAGTCATTTAGTCTAACTGAAAATAAACCTCTACATTTAACGATTCAATTTAAACAAATTTCATCGTAAAATAAAAAGAATTCCCGAGTTTTCCGTGAACATATTGACCCTTCCATGTGTAAGGGTTGAGAAAAAAATGTATACGTAAACAAATTTTTGCTTCCAAAGTTCAATTTTAATATAATAAATACATTTCAATCAGGATTATGTAAAATAAATTTTAAAATAATTTAAAGAAATAATCTCTGTACATTATGGGCACAATGTTAATATTTTTATATTAAAAATTTTAATCCAATAAAACAGTCATATTTATTCAAATCAATATTCAACAGCATATAAAAGAATTTTGGACAACATTTTAGATTAGCAATGATCAAAATGTTAGTGTTAAGAAAGCTTTTGTGGTAATAAAATATATTCACTCACAAATCAGTTATTTACAAATGATAGCTATTTAGTTCTAACTGAATGCATCGATAGTTTTATTGTTTTCTATTTGGATTTTCGTCTTTTTGCAATTTCTCGTTACTCTGTTGCTGGCATTTTGCAAATAAAATTTCAAACGAATCGGTTTTGTCAGACTTTCCATGGGCAAGCAGTTCTTCTTCTTTTTCGTAATTTTGAATCTAAATGACAAAAATAAATAATAATAAATTTAATTGTATTATTTAATATATAAATAGTGAATCAAAGTCCCTTGCACCCTTTTCGTTCCTGACAATACATTACAGTCGACCCCCCTAAAACACTGTTGTTTATTCTGTTTTATATGAATTCCATGTTGTATGAGTCACTTAGATTTTACAAATACATGAGCCGTTCACAGCTCAGCACACGTATTTGTAAAATCTAAGTGACTCGTACAACATGGAATTCATATAAAACGAAATAATCAACAGTGTTATAGGGGTCGACTGTAATTTTGTTAATGTAATAGTGATGCAGGAAAGTCATGTATGGAGAATCAGATACATCTGCAAGTTACATGAGTGACCTGAAAATTACTTTACTTTTCAAGGTCACTCATGTAACTTTAATGTGCAGATGTAACAAAGGATCCAATACCAAAGCTAAAAAGCATCATTTTTTAGTCTGAAATCATTTTCTGCTTTCAAATAAATATATTTAGGACTGCATAATTTACAACTTTAAATTCATGGGAAGTAAAAATTGTTTTGAGTGACCTTGAAAATAACTTTTCAAGGTCAAAAATTTCAATAAATTCTCTATGTACAACTACTACATTAACAGAATTAATCTGTCTTCACTACTTTGAAATGAAAAGGGAACAGAGGGCTTTTGACTCACTTTATAACAATCCATTATTGACATTCTTACACTTTGAAACTTACAAAACATTCAAAACAATTTTAAGTACATTACCAATCTCTCTCCCTAGCCCAGAGATTTTTGTAGGTACAACATTTCATTTTGACTAACAAGCCCACCACACTAGCATCAGACCATGGAAAAAATCCTGAGAGATCCATTACAACTGTGTACATTAATAATAATATAAAAGCTGTCATCTGCATTCTTTACAACTCCTGCAATTTTTGTCCAATCCAGATGAAATTTTAGTTATAGTGGTTTTATGTTCCAATAGAAAGTATAGGCTACTTAATTTGCAGGAATATTAACTATAGAATAAACATTTTATCAATTTTAGATCAGTAATTGCACTTATATTGCAGTGACTTCATTTAGTTTGTGCTTGATGGAATTTTCCTTAAGTTGTATTTTTAAATATTTTGACAGATGTATATTTAAACTTATTTCATAAAATTTAAACTTAACAAAAAAAAAAAAAAAAAAAGCAGCCACATAATGTCACTTCTACAATAAAAAACAACTTTTTATAGTGATCATGAGATGTTATATTATCCAATCAGAATTAACAATCTAAGGACCCTGTTATCTAAAATGTATTATTGTACTGTATATTAACTACTTTAATTTGTAGAAACATTAGCTACTCTTCTTGAATTTCTTGAAATCTGTACTCTTCTCAATTCTTCAATCTCTACTTTCTCATAGAAAGTAGTTCATGCTTGGAGGGGGAATTTCTAGTTTTTTGTAAAAATACAAAGTCCATTTTACTAGAATTAACTCATTATCTAATATTTTCATAAGATGTCTATCACTGACTTTTCATTTTCAACTTACATAATCCTCAAACTGCACTCATCCGATTTTAATTTTTGCAATAACCTAATTATTTGATCAATAATTATTTTTATTTTATCAAATAACCACAACTATCAACTGTATAACCAGAAATGTATCTTATTTGCTGGTGTATAAGATGCAGCTGTTTTTCAGAATAATGAGCTATAATATGCTACATATAGTGGCTGTAGCAATGCCATGTTTAAAGAAAATTGAATAAACATCCGTCATTTTCCTTTTAGTCAAGGAGATGTGGCATTTGTGTTGTGTAAAGACAAAGCTTGAATATTCTGACTCATGTGAAAGTGTGCAAATGAAAGGAAGAGTTTTAATCATTAACCAAGATGGTGCAAATTAAATGACCCTACTTAGTTTAATTTTGAAACTATAAATAGAGTTAAAGAAAGAAATGTCTTGTTATAAACGTTTCTAAACAAGACAAAATATTCTGTAGCAATAAGTTAAATGCATTTCTAAATATTCTTAATTTTACCTTTCCAACTGTTATATATAAATAACAAGGAAAAGCATTGGAATCGTGTCAAACTTGACCCTCAGAGTTTTTTTTAAAAATCTCCATGTTTTGAGACCTCCCGAATCCAAAAGGAAAAAAATATTCTGTGCATGTGTGTGTTGGCATTTATAAGAAATGAAATTTAAAATGATAACTTTTGTATAAGAAGCATTGATGCTATTAGATTTTTGGTGGTTAAAAGTTAAAGGGGTAGGGAGATAGAGGGGTGTCGTCAATCTCGAGATGTTGGACTTAATGAATATGTTATTCATTATTAATATTTACAATTTTTTTAAAACTCATTACTACTCTCAAAATTAAGCTTTTTGCCATTCAATAATAATTAAAAATATAAAAAGTTACAAATAAAGATTTCTTCCAATAACAAATCTGGTGGTATTTATCATGTATTTTTTAATTATCTGCAAGTAACAGAGACTGAGATCAAAACAGTTAACTTTATTTCACCTATTAAACAATTCATTTTGAATTGGTAATTTTCCAATCCCCCTTCAGGATCATGGCTTCGGTGTCTAAGGTTGTTATCTACAACATAACAGACAAGAGGTTAGTTCATGTTAATATACTTTTGTTACCCAGAATGATACCTATAGTGCATAATTTGGTACATCCAAATGGTGCAGTTTTTACATACTACTCTTTTTCACTTACTGGCATGTTTTATTTGTTTATTTTTGATGGGCAAATGCAACACTTCTTCCATTTCCCACAATAATTAGCTCCTTATTACCTCTTAGAAGGATTTTAACTTCAACAATGTGGTTTGTAACATGACAAAGGTTAAAATGTAGTTTTTCATTGTAAATATTTTCACAAACCACAATATAACTATAATAAAAACATAAGAACACTACTTATATTCTGAAAAAGAAAAAAAAAACACTGTCCAAAATATAATCAACAATTTACTGAGTATAGTATGGATCATGCTGACCCAAGTAAATTATAAATAATCAATCAAATGGCTGAGAGTAAAGACCTTCAAGACCTGGCTCATACTTAATTAAAAAAATATTGTTATATTGAGGGTTAAATATTACAAGTATCACTTTAAACTCTGATATTCCTTCTTTATAATGATTAAATAAAATTAGAAACTAGCTAAATTTGAGATGAAACAATCTAGATTTATACGAGAAAAAGATTCAATTCTGCCAAACACATTGTATAGACTTCAATGTTTTTACTTAAATTAAAATGGTAATTGATAATACCTGTCATTGCCACCACTGTATCCAAGGTCACAGTCACTCTATATAGCATATTCTATCTTGTTATTTCAGAAGTATTTTATTTTAAAAAATTATACATTAATGAAAATACTTTTTTATATAATGCATACTTTTTTATTCAACATCAAACCTTTATGGTGGGCATATATATATATAACTTCCAATACACAAGTTTTGCTTAGGTAATGCCTTTTTTTTAAAAATCTTTTTTGATTTTTAAAAGAAAGGCAGCAATTTTGTGCCATCAGCACAACCTGACAAAACAACAGAATAATGAGTTTTCCATGGCCACAAGTTTTTACAATAATAATTTTGCACCTTTGACATCTACAAGTACTGCTTAGTTTGAAAACAAATGTGAGATTAGCAGTGGGTCACTTTCTAGTTCCCAAATGACCACTTACACTGCAACAGGTTGGGTAAACCCGATCTCAGGATCTTAGGATGGCTTTTTATCAAGTGGCGAGGGAGGTGAGCAAGTTGGCAGGTGTCCTTTAGGGACAGGAGACAGGTTTAACAAAATAAAGCATTTATTGATTAACTAAATCTAAGTTACAGGCATACTAAGGTTAAATGTGGTTATATTAAAATATTTACAGAATATGGCGATTAATTTCGTATCTATGTCGCTGACCTAATTTCTAGTTCGAGAGAGAGAGTGCTTTGACAAAATCTAAATACCCTAAACACCTCTCGGTGAAAGGGAGAGTTGGCGAACGTTGTCTGTATGGAAGGGTGTGGTGTCTTCAGTGTCTTCTCCGACCGACTTCTTCCGTGTGCGGACGCTCTCGAGCTTCTGGTGATCTCCCTTTTTACATCCTTGTCGTGAGAAAGCTGACACGTGATCAACTTTTGTTAACGATGATGGTGCATTCTTCACACCTAAGTGTAAACTTTCCCAGCTAGTTGTTATTACAATCGGTGAAATCCAATCTAGTTCAAATTCTTCAGGTTTTTTCTGAGGATATTTACAATTAACAGAAAATTTAGATTTTTAAGAGCCCCATAAAAATCTGCAGGCTCACACAAATCAAATGTCTTAGGTAAAGGCCTCATCCATATTTCCTAATTGTTACAGTTCCATTGTTCCCTACAATTCACAACACTTATAAAAAGTCAACAACTTAATTTTCATATTCATCTGGTATCTTTTGTGATACTTTATTTTTATGCACATACATAAGTTATTTATTTTCATAAACTTATGAAAATAAATAACTTATGTATGTGCATAAAAATAATATTGCACATACATAATGTGCCACCACGATGTGCCAGTAAATCAACTATACTTCTGTTTCTGCAACTAGTAAATAATAATTTTTTGTAAATAGTGAAATACCAGATTTTATGTTAACTTATATCAACATTTTAAAACCTTCATGTTTTGGCCATTTTACAATTCTTTTATAAAAATGAATATTTTTAAAATCTTCTTTCCTCTAGGTTTGTATCATTTCTTTCAGTTGGTGGTGGCTCAAAATATTATGCTGTTCCTCTACTGCCGTTTTCCTTTTATATATAATGACACCAAGCTTGAAAGTAACAGTATAGTAACATCTATTTTGCTACTATCACCTGCTGAATGAGCAGTCAAAGTGACAGCCTTCAACTCTCGGGGACCTGGGATTGAATCTGGACGGGTCAAAAAAATCCCCAGGAATTTTTCAGGGGTTGATCAAACCAGATATGCTTGCTCCATCTCTCACCACCCATCTGCTCCATTGTGGGCCTGGCCAACCCATAATGGGCTTACTAAAAGAGGCCTTCTTAGTGCCCACAGGGCAGAGAGAGTAATTAATAATAATAATAATAATAAAAATTATCTATTTTGCTATTAAGCCATGGGTTAATAAAGAAAATAATGTTACTGACTGCAATATCACTAATTCTATTGCATTTGAAAAACCATTAGATAAACTATTGTCAACTGTTCTTTTGAAACTGCACAAGTGCAGGCTGTTGTGCCATGTACAATAAGTAAATATGGTGAGTTTTGCCCTCTTATTCATTGGTGTGTTGTTCATTTGAAGAAGAGGACATTCCCATTGTTTTCTATGGGAGTTGGAAGTATTCTGTGCATGCACTGTTTTAAATAAAACCAGAAGCATTAAAGATCTCATTTCTGTATATGAAAGATAACCATAACTAATTAATGATGATAATGGATATCTATATTTCAAATTTATTAGATATTTCACTTGAAATCACATGCAGCAATAAAAACAGAAATTTAATTGGAGAGAATATTTGTCATTTCAATTGAAGTTTCAATCTTTTGTATATGAGACATTCTGGTTGTGAGACAAATTTTTAGGGGAAGAATAGTGTGTCTTATATGCCAATAATATGATATGTTATTCTGCTTAATTAAAATTTATTTAAATATCTTTAAATATTGATTAATAGTGTGTAGATTCCCTTGTCAAAAGTTACACATCTATAGGTAGATCTTTCAGATAATCTGTAAAAAGAAAACACAAAATTTCTGAAGAATAACCAGTTTAAAGATTCTCTTAACAATAAAGATTCAAAAGATTGTAACATGAAATCAATAAATGCCAAAATTAAAATATGCCATTCAAATGGCAAACTTATCGACTGCAATTTAGAATATAAATTTATGGCAATTTTTTAAAATAATACTTTAAGCTTTTAACACAGTTTTACTGAATGTACTGAATTAAAACAAAATGGAAATATAGAAATAAAATGATATGCTTACATTTTTAAGATTATTTTATTTTTTTATTTGTTTTTTGTGTTGTGGGTATATCAAGCATTGTGTATTTGAAGTTTCATGAACTGTAACGTAATTGTTGCATTTGAAGGTAAATTAATTTACTCAAAATATAACAATCTCATGATACAAGTAATATATGACAAATGTTGCTAAATAAGCAATGAGGATCAATCACAAACAAAGAGAAAAATAAAACAAAATTATTTTGTTATGCTAAGGATAGTGACACTTACATAAGCTGCTCTGACAGCAGTTAAATCATTATAATTTTCCTACATTTCATAATAGGATATTTGATAAATTTGTGTTAAAAAAAGGAAATTTAATTAAATCCAATCATTTAGGCATATTCATAAATTTTTTTTTTTTTATAAAACTTTAAAATTAAATATATAAAAGTATTTAAATTATTTAAAATTTAATCACATAAGATTCTTCGGAAGTCTGATGTTGTATAATGTAAATTTGTTTTGATACACAGATAGCCAGTGAAACATAATTCTAAACTTATAAATTTCATAATGAACCAGTACCAATTCAAATTTACCTGAGACAGTAGTTCGGCTCCTTCACCAGGAAGTGAAATTCCACAAATTTCTTTAAAAAGATCTTTGGCAGTCATTATGTTAGGAAGGAAATGTTTTTTGAAGAACTGAAAGTCAAAATAAATCATCACATTTTTATACTACACAAACACGTGAACAAAAATTTCAAGTTACAAACCTCTATAACATTGATACAATCACGCATTAAAAACTCCAGTGCTTGCGGGTGATTAGGTTCTACCGACTGGCTTACGTCAATAACCCACACCTGGTCTTTGTGCCATAAAAGATTATATTCACTAAGATCAGCATGTACCAAATTACAAATTTTAAACATTCGTTTCATTATCTGCAATATGTATTATGGATATTAAACAGCATTAATATTTTATATGATGTAATTTTATGTAACAAAGAAAACATTGCTTTAATATTTCATATTACAACAAATATTTTTTTATACGTACATACATACATGATACTATTTTTATTCTATGTTAGCAATTTGCAATTAAGTTTTAATACTTCATTACAAATAAACTATGCATTTGTAAAATATGAAATAAAGAAATAAATAATTTTCCTTTATCACTGCTAGAATATTTTCTAAATTACAAAAATCTCACAAAGACTTATCAAGCTTCTAACTCTAACACACATTAACATAATAGCTGATACAAAAAATCTAATATAATTGTTAACTCATGAAAAAGTAATTCATATTTATATCAATAGAACTATTGAATGAATTACAGTCTACATTTGTTTCATCTATAACAATGAGCCAGGTGGGAGAGAGGATTTGAAATATTAAGGTCACCACTAAATTTATGAGGACATGATCCAGACTTGAATCATTTAAAGTGATGGGTAGACAGATACCTTTACTGCCTTGGCCATTCTGTTATTGAAAACTAGTTACTGAAAACTATTCCAATGATATGATGTAGTACAACACTTGTATAGATTGAAATTTTCTAAAAAAGTTATATAACTGTCGAAAGTGATTGGTGCAATTAAATATGATGGCAATGAACAAAAAAGTATATATTGATCTTTTAATCAATTGATAAACAATAAATGTATCAAATGTCTATCTTTTATCAATTGAGTAAAAAGACAGCAATAATTCTATATACATCAAGTGCATTGTACTATATATATTGCTCAGTGTAACCCTTGATTCACCCTTAAGATAATTAAATCTTGTATTAAAATATTTAATAGTTTTCAAATATAAAAGATGTTTCTTTTAAACATTTATTTCTTTATCTCAGTATGTATTGCTTACAAAATATAATCAATTATTAATATTCAATTTAAATGTAAGAATCAATAATTACTTCAATTGTCTGTATATATGCATCAGATAGGCTGGATGTTGAAAGTTTGGCGTCTTTTAATTTTGGAGCAGGTCTAGAATCGCTTCCAATAAAAGACATCACCAAGACATGCTTTTGCAAAATGACAACTTCAGGACAGAGCAAACCAGCTTTTCTCATTCTATATATATTATTATTATAAATTTCATTATGTTAGCAAATTTTAAAATTGAAATAAATTAACTTTGTTAAACTGTACCGATTCAAGTTGTGCATCTCTTTTTCGGCCCACATGTGAATCACATGACGTGAATTCTGTTTGTTAAATCTTTCTTTAAAGCGATAATCATCTCTAATATACTGATCACGATTTTTAAATTCATTTAATGTTGTCTTAAATACTTTAACAGCACATTCAGAAGGAATAACTTTCTCTGAATTCCTGCAAAAAGAGTAATTTTAAATCTATCATGAAATTTATGAAATTATAGATAATCTTAACTTACTGTCCTCCAAATGCATGGAAAACACAGGCTTCTTTTCCTCTACTGATACAGCCACTAATTGATTCTAAATATTCTCGGTTAACTAATTTGTATAAAATTAAACAAGTTTTTGGATCAACAGCTTGCTCCTACAAAAGTGAATTTTTTTAAAATCATAATTTAAAATTGATGATCAAATAAATTTTCACAAGTTTTATTTAACTTAACTTACAGCAGTTGATTTTTCTTTTTTGTCGTGTAGTTTATGAGAACGACGACCTTCACTAATTGAATGTACTTTCAATTTATTATAAACATGGTTAGATAATTGCATATCAAATCCTCCACCATCACCAGTAATTATACCAGGAGGAAACTGCAAGTAAAACATAGATAAGTTACAACTGCAAAATGCTTTTGTCAATTAAAATCTATTTAAAAAAATATACATGGTGTTTCAGATTATCCATACCATTTGTTTTTGTAAACCTTTTGTTAAAGAAGGTTTGGGAAAGTTTTTCTATACTCAAAGTCTGTGTACAGAACAAATTGGCAACATGGCAACAAAAATTGCAGCAACCAGTCCAGAATTTGCACATCAAAACAGAGGCCAAGATGAGTATCATTGACTATAGCTTTTCATACAAAATAACTTTTGTTGGAAATTAAGTTATGAAGAATATCCAAAAATAATGGTTTTTCATGTTTTCATTACTAGACTAATGTCAGACACAATGGCAAGACGACAACATATTTTGACTGATGTTTCCTACAAGTAGCAGCATTTCAGTACTTATTTCTACAATTACAGTCATTATACATTAGACATGTTAAAAATGTAGATATCTACGTTAACCTTTTATTGAAATGTTTTCCTTTTGTACTTTAATTTTTAAATGGTTTACAACAATCTTAAAATTATGGAATTGTGTAATTATACCCAAAACACACTGCATTTACGCATTAAAATAATGGCAACTTTATATGGAAATGTAGGATGATAATTGAAAAGAAAACACTGAAGTGATATTTCTTCTAGTAGATCTCAGTCAAAATATTTGTCCTGTCTCCATCTGATAAATGCTTAAAATTCATTATATGTTTCAGCTTATAAGTAAATATTTCTCAATCTGTGGTGAGTTTTGTGGCAAAATGAAAACAGAAGAAACCATTAATTTTTGATATTCATATCTTAAGAGTAATCCATTTCATCCATTTAGAAGAATTTTGATAGAAAAGTTTTTATCTCCTGCAATTTAAAAAATAAAATGTTTCTTTTGTTGTTTACTAATCACATTTACAAAATAAGCAACCACATTTCAGCATTTTAAAACATGCTAGATTGCCTGTCTTTGTAGCTTCCAGTCTTTGTGTCTATTTGTTTTTAATAAATTCTCAAACATTTACTTATCCCTGTAAAATAATGCCTTATTGTAATGAAGATGCTTTTGACATGTTAATAATATTAGAAGAATGTAAAGTAAATTTCAAAACTATGAAATATCTCCATACCCAAAAATATCCAGATGAAACTCATTACTCCCATGTGTTCCAACATTTGGCAACCCATATAAGCAAAACAGGCACACTCAACTATAACATAACCAGTATTGACAAATTATTATGTCAGAGATAGAACAGTGGTAGATATTTTCATTGTAGTTATAGTTAATAAGAAAATCTGTATAATTTTGTCTATTCAAAAGAAAAATGAAAAGTAACGACTGATTATTTGATCTCCAACAACATCATGCTGGGTATCAAAGCTCCATATATTCTGCTAATTGTCCATTTCTCTAAACAAGTGCAGATTCTCTGCTGCCCAATAATCAACATTGTGGATATTGACATCCCACTGATTTTCAATGTTGCTTTATTGAACCAAAGAACTTCCTGGCAAAAAAGAGGATTCCTGTTTTATGCCCAGTGACAGAATTCAATGTGTTTTTGAAATGTGTTTTGTTGCAAAATTCTTGTTACAATACATATGAAATGGATGCATTCTGTTGTCATTCAAAATTCTCTAAACACTTGAACGACTCACATCAGAATATAAAGACATTCAAATAAAATCATGATAGTTAATATGCTTCTAAGATTTCTGGAATATATACCACTGGCTATTACACAATGCATTTCAACATACTGATTGCCTGGCACATTTTTCCCAAATTCTGGACTAAAAGTTTACTCACAGATGGCTTGTATCATGGCCACCATGACACCTGATTTAGCATGCATATACTATTACTAATGAAGAAAGGACCAAAGATAGATTGTGTATCAGAGGCATCCTACAATATAGAAAAACATGAAAACATATGTCAGGTTAGCATGCAGGTTTTTTCAACAAAGCCGAGTATCTGCATGCACAGGATGCTTTCCAAGAAAGGCTTCTAAAATGTCTGGAACAAAACAGAGAACACTTCAAACATCTACAACTCAGTTTACATTAGCAACAACTCTTTTATGCATTGTCTATATTTATTATGTAATCATCAACAGAAAAGTTTGGTTATTTTGTAAATGGTAACATTTAATAAACTTTTATAACAAAAGTTAAAGCTATTTCTGTTAGGTATCAACTGATGACATTGTTGCCAATCAATATGGATTTTGAGTATATAAATCTATACATACAGATTTTAATTATTTATGATTTCCCTTTCCCTTTATTAGTGTTTATTTTTCCAAAAATAAAAATAAAATTTAAAGGATTCTCTTTTTCTAAAATCTAATTTTGTTATATTATATAAGAAACTGTACAAATTATGAATGTTTATAAATTAAATAAAAATAATAATACCTCCATTAAGCGATGGGCATTTCTTCTTGCACATCTTACTAAATCATGTTTAGTAGTTATGGTGTTACCTTGACGACTAATTCCATTTTTTCCAACTATTGGAGATTGTCTTTCAGCAATTTCAAACGTATCTTCTTGTTTTGTTTCATCTAAGTCCTCATCTGTACTTTCGTCATCTGATATCATATTTTGAGGAACACGTCGATAATTTTTGAAAGAAACAGATACTATAAAATATAAGAACTACATCAGAAAACTAAAAATGATTCTATTAGAAGCAACTACCAACTGAAATAAAATGAAAATTATTGAACTGTTAAAAAATTGCAAAAAAATTAATAGTAATTAAAAATCAGAAAAAAACTTTAAAATAACAAAATTTCTTTATAAATTAATCTGTTTTTGTAACAAAATTTTTTCATGTTTAAAATAAAAATTAAAATCACCTGTTTAGTCAACTATAATATCCCATAAAAAAGTAAAGCCCAGCAAAACATCTAAATAATGGAAACTTTTCAAAGTTGTGGTGTAAGAATACTGGCATAAGATTTGACAATAAGACTCAACATGTGAATAAAGTACACCAACAAGAATGTAAATAGAAACAACCAACAATCATTCAGGTGATTGTTGGTTGTATCTATATAATTTTACCCATTACAGATAGAGATAGACCAAACTTGCAACATAATCAGCTAATATGGACGAGAGACGGAAAATGGTAGTCTGACACATTCTACTTGTAATAAACTATTGAGATTCAAGTCAGATTTCAGCATGGATTTCCAGGGTGAAATTGATACCTTATAGTACAACTGGATAATCATGCAACCTACTGGTGAGGAATTCATTTATTTGGAATGAACTATACATATTGATATTTGGATGAGCATTTAACCAACCTATGCACAGCTCATTTCAAAATAAAATTCATATTAAAAGGAAAATTATATAAATAAAACTACTTTCTTCATAAAGCCAAATTTATATAATATAACAAACATTTTCAACCTATATATCAACCCAATAAAAATCTTATTATAATGACATTGTAAATAATATTCTAATATGTATTTATAACTTATTTATGTAATTTTGAATATAAATATTCAATTTGTATTTATTTCCTAACAAACGTTTGCAATTTCAATTTGTGGCCTAGAACAGGCCAAAAATCATTTTTATATTAGTTTATAAATGGTGTCACTTTTCATATAACTTAACATTAAAAGAAGAATGTTTAGTTCTCCCTGAATGTTCATTCATTGAAAACAATAAGCACAGAAAGACTAATTTTCAAATGCATTAAATTGGCAATTAGTTTCCATAGAAATAAGGTTTGGTAAGAACATTGGATGAACAAAAAACTTGTAAAAAAGTTACATCCAATATTAAATAAAATATATACTGTACTAATACTGTATATTTTCCTATAATTATTGTTACAGATGAAATTTAATACAGTAGATTGTCGTTTATCCAAATCAATTGGGGACTGGGGTGGTTCGGATAACTTATTTTTCAGATAATGAATCATGTACGAAAAAATATATAAATTTATCCTGTGTTGAAATTTTTCTCTGTTGTGTGTCACTTTGCGTTGTATTTTCGTCGTTGTTAAGCCTAACAAAGACTATTGTATTGTTAAAAATTATTTTTTTATTTTGTACAAACAAAATAAATTTATTGAAAAATATAAAAACAATAAAAAATTATACTTCAGATGTTAATTTAGTATCAAAAATGTAAAATATTTGAGTAACCCAAGAAATAGCCAAAGATCGCAGTGCCACAGCACTAGCGAAAATTTAAATTTGACGACTGGAATGCTTTCGGATAACAGACGTTTCAGATAACCAGCTTTCGGATAAACAACGCTCTACTGTATAACAAAATTTATTAGCACTATTAAATGATTAATGAATAGTTAATATCAATTTGAAAACATACTGTGCAATTTTATTCCTTAAATCAATACAGAATTTTGCTAGTAATAATGTGACACTTAATTTAATTTGGAATAATGATCCAAACTAACTAAAATGTAATGAATTGAATTCACATGACTACCAATCAAAATCAGAAGTTTGTATATAGTTGATTGAGACCTTCTGCCCCCAAGTTTTCCACATCTGGTCTTGACTTTCATATATCTAACACCGTTCTCAAAATTAAGGGGGGGGGACAAACAGGCAGACGAACAACAGTGAGAATTTGTAGGTCTACAATTTTTTCAAATTGCAGCCTAATAAAAATGTTTAAGGTAGTACAGGTATTTTTCATTTAGCAACATAATTCATGAAATAATATACACATACATGGCTTACTTTCCTACAAAATTCAAATCTGATTGTTACTCAAATTACATTTTAGAAAAAAATCTCAACTTGTGAATTTATGAATTTATTTTATATCAATAAATCCAACAGCCAGAAATCCTGGATTATTTTTACAATATAATTCAATCAAATTACCAAATAAATTGCACAAAAAGTAAAATGTGCTGTCATTTTGTAATAAATTTAATAATTTAAAATATCTGAAAGAACATTTTAATGTTTCAATGATATGTGGTCATATATTAGTAAGTTTTTAACTCACTAAAATATGATCACTGGAAGATAAAAAACCAAATATTTAGAAATATAAACATGGCTTTTTCTGTTTGGAAAAAACCTAAATTTATATCTATAATTAAACAATGCAATTCATTGAAATCATACAGAACATTTTTAATTTAAAAAAATTATGCTTTGAGATAAGTTTTATTTGTACCTTTACTTCCTGCATTGAATTTCTTTTCTTTTCTTTCTAATTCTGCATCTTGTTCAAGATCATATTCCCTTTGTAACATCTGAGCCAAAAGAAAATCACTACTGCAATCTGGTTCGTCTGTCAACAATTCCATTTTTGATTCTTTTCTGTAAGAAAAATAATTAAATTCATAAATTATAGTACATTATAATATATATATTATTCAATATTGCAAATCTCAATTATTAATTCATTTTTTTTAAAATGTCAGCAATGCTTTTCTTAACTCTTCATTTTAAATGGGTGCTCTTAATTCATAATTCATTTTAATTCTGATAATTAAATCTAAATGTTATGTTAACAATTTGAAAATTATTTTATCAAATAAACTTAAACTAAACCCTGTTTATGATTTTTCTTTTTAATTTTTATTAATTAAAATCTATATGTATAGATTTTTATATTCAAAACCCATATTGATCAGGAACATTGTCATCAATTGAAACCCAACAGACATAGGTTCAACTTTTGTTATAAAAATATTTCATTATATGTTACCATTTACCAATTAATAAAAAGAAGTAATTATTATAATTGAGAAAACATTGAAAATATAAGATACCCTAAAGCCTCTGTTTCTCTGAAGATGATATTGTCTAAATTACAGCTTCTAGATTTTTCACATGCATGAAAAACTTGACCTCTTAACTATTAAAAAACATCAAAAAATATTAATTTTTCATCTTTGTAGAGAAATAACATACTGAAGCATAGTTTGCAATTAACAATGAATCAAAGACTATCAATGGACATTAAAGAAGCATTGTGATTTGGTTAGCAAAACTGAAGTCAAAGTATGGCAAGACAACAACAAATCTATATACAATCAAAAAACGTTATCCCTTCTATATTGGAACTGACATTTTTTATTTCCAGTATAGCTTAATCTTAACATTTTCAAAAATAGATTTAATGGACAGATCAACTTAGTAAATCTGATAATCCATTATTTTTATCTTATTTTTATAAATGTAAGCTTTACACAAAAAGACAATTACCTATAAGCTCTTCACTAGCAAAATAATATTGAAAATTATTCAAAAAAATGTAAAATAAAAAATTTTATGTAGAATTTAAAATTCTTTGTGAAATTGCTCTAAGATATATATATATTTTTATACTTTGGAAAAAAAATGTTGATAATTTTTGTACCAAATAATTTATAAATGCTTCATGAAACTAAATGCCAATTTATTCTTTAGCAACACCAATAAAAGTATGATCAGTCACAAAAAGATTAATTTTGGAATATATAGTTACACTTTATCTAATCAATTGTAGGAATGCATTCTATCTGTCATATAATTTTCTTATGTTAATTGCAATTAAAATAAAATTTGAAGTCTGTCTAAAATCAAAAATATTAAACATAACAGTAACTATATTTACATATTTTGGTTTAGTGAATATATTTACACACATTTTATACTTATTTTGTAGATACATATAAAAAATGTACATGTAATTTCATTTATTCACTATTAAAATAAAAGCATCAACTTCTTATCCAACTATTATGTAATAACATAATAATGCATGTTAGAATTAAGATAATAATCATTAATAGTCTACTGTAAAATAAGATCAAATACTTTAAATATGTACTTACTCTTGATTAGATTTAAGTCTTTCTTCATCTTTCTCTACGAGTGAATGGATAAGTTGTTCACTCATAACATCTGCAAATGAAACAGGCACAACTGTTGATGATGTAGCCCAGGGACATGACTTATTTGTTGATGTCTGAGGGGGATTACAAGGAAGATATGAAGAGTCACCAAGAGAAGAAAGACAAGGTATTTGAATGTCTGTTGACTCCATTGGAGGAGAGTCCTAAAATTGTAAAATTATGAAAAGTAACATTAATATTACTGCTATACCTGATATATTTTTAAATATGAAATTAAGAATAAATTATATATTTGGTATTGGATAATTATATCATCCTATATAGGGATGTAGCCAGAAATTTGTGTGTGTGTGTCACCTGCATGGCAGATGGCTTGCATTAGGTAGGCAAGCTGTCATAAAAACACAATAGCTCATCATCACTAGCAACATAATATTGTATAAGGAGCAGCCATACTGATATGGCAGTTTCTTGCATGTTATAAGTAAGCCATAAGCAAATCAGTGATACGTATGACAAGAGTCAATAAAAAAAGAAAGGCCAAATGTGAATTAGTAGTGGTATCTCATACTTCAAATGCTAAAATTAACAAACTTTGTTTCAGACTTCAAATGATGCTTCAAAGTTCGAACTATGCACACAGTGAGAAATGCACTCAAAGCATAAATGTAATGTAATCCGTTGTGCACCCAAGTAATTTCTCGCTTGTGTGTTATGCTGTATGTTTTCAGTGTTTTTTTTTTTTGCTTCATATTTTGGTATGTTTGGTTATACATAGTGTTATTCATTGATTTTTAATAATTTCTCCAGGCAAATTATCTTTGTCAATAGTTTTTGGGCACCACATACATTTTGTATCCTTTGGTTCAAACTTTCCCAAACAGAACTTTTTCACATTAGTAATAATGTGTTAAATTTCACAACAGTTATAATTAAAATTGCACATCTATGTTAAGTAACCACAGCTTTTAAAAATAAGCAAAATCTTTATTGAACCAAATATGACATTTATTTATTAACTATCACTCACACCCAAGAAGTGAGTGAAAGCTACAAAGTCTAAGAGGAAGGTTGTAATATTGACAATTGAGATGAACAAAGTGACTTGCTGCAAAGCGTGAAAGTGGCAGATGCATGACAGATTTCACAGCCACATTTTAGATCTGAAGTTGACAATGTGCAACTAGTAAATGCAATTTCCATATTTTTTATACAATATTTATATATTTTTTGTTTTTGTGTTTTAATTTATTATTAATGCACTTAATTGTAATATTTTTACCTTAAATTATCTGTAATTGCTATTTTAAGTTTATTGAAATGGATATTTTTTAGGGTCTGAGAATGGATGAATTACTTTTTTCATTATTTCTAATGGAAAAAATTAATTCAGATTTTGAATGGTCTCCTGGAACACATCAAATTCAAAGCATGAGGCATCATTACATTATCTTTTATTATTCTTTATTCTAGCCTAGTACTTGAATCTGAGGCATCTTTTTTCCTGTTTCATCCAGTAATTAACTGCTTACGACACTCTTTTTTCCACTATTTACTTTAAAATTTGAGTGCAGTAGCAAAAGTTAAGTGAGAAATGCCATCCAATGTGGCTACAACCTTTCCTATAATGTGAGTTAATTCTAAAGGCTTTTATCCTTTCATTTGCATTCATGCTCTTACATATGGAAGATAATTACAGAAGTTTTAAAAATTAAAAACATTTCTGATATTCAGGGCCGTGCCGTGCTATGGTGCAGAGATGCGGCCGCATCAGGTGGCACCGTGAGGGGCAACATAAAAAACATTTAAGGGGTGGCATTTCGAAGACTTGCATCATACTTAGAAAATCTACCGCACGGCCCTGCTGATATTGACAAATTTTAAAATCATAATGGAGAGCAGTATTACAGGTTCAAATGTGGCATGAGCTGATAATGCACACATCAAAAAACAATGTTCAGTCTAAGTTTCTAAAACAAGAAAATATATTTTAACTGATTTGCAGGTCTACAAATACAAGCAGATGATATAATCAGAAATTAATGACAAATAATAATTATATGCAAAATTGCAAATTATCTCTTCCTATTATAGCAATTCTTGAAAATTATAAAAGAAAATAACATTAACATAGTTGACTGATATATTCCAATCTCGAAGTACAAGACTGTAATATGACTGTGAAGAAAGTCTAATATGTTGTATCTAACGAAAATTCAAGTAACAGTTATGTATGCTGAATGAATAAGTACAGTAGAACTTCAATTATCCAAAGATAGTGTCAACCAATCATATTTCAGATAACCAAAAACTCAAATAATACAGATCACAACCATTAAAAGTTACAAATATAAAAGATTTGCATGGTATCATTTTAAACCTCTTTTTACTGTATATCTTATGTGAATTTAATCATATGTAAGAACAATCATTTTTACATCATTTATTATATAGTCAATATATACAATAGTTTTAAGAATAAATATACAGTAATACCTCAGTCTTTGTTGACTTCGGTTATCACCGATTTTGGGTTTCATTAATTTTTTCGCGAAAAATTTGTCTTGGTTTTCATCGGTTGCCTTGAGTTTCATTGGCGTGCCCATGTAACACTGCTAATTTTGCAAAAACAATGGGCGACCCACGCGTTTTCCTGCTCAGTGTGGCATTGTTTCTCGTTGTGTGAGAATTACCTCTCCCCATGTCTAGCCAAACAACTCCTCTGTGATAGCTGGCTGGGCGAGCGGTCAAGGTGGCAGTCTACTGCTCTGGAGGACCTGGGATCTAATGCGGATAAGTTGAAAAATCGCCAGAAATTTTTCAGGAGTGGTTCAATCTGGATATATCGGGCCCTGTTGTTCACCACCCAGCCACCCCCCTGTGGGCCTGGAAGAACCCATAACGGGCTTGCTAAAAGAGGTCCTCTTAGTGCCCACAGGCAGAAAGAGTTTAAAAAAAAGCCAAACAATTCCATTATTTCCTTTCCTTTTAGCTTCATCATGGGACAATGAAAGTTTCCACAGCAAGCAGCCCTTTGAATACCATGTTAAACATTCATTTATTCTTTACATTAGTCTTTTATATTAATTTCTTATTGTTTTCAGTATTAAATACTATTTATTCTCTATAAAATGTTTTTGGTATGTATTTTGGAGTGTCTAGAACAAATTAGTTGGATTTACATTGATTCATATGGAAATCATTGCCTCGGTTTTTGTTGGTTTCGGATTTCGCTGATTGTTTTCGGCCAATTATCAACAAAAACAGAGGTATCACCGTATACATTATTATAGTTACATTTTAATTTGAATGATTTGTCTTACATTGAAATAACAATAGACACAAAAATTAATTTGTAACATGTTATTGTTTTAAACTTTCTTTTATGAAGTACAAGAAATAAAATCATGTCTTTGTTTCTAACTTCACTACAATGTTTATTACAGCTGACTCACCTCAAAGCAAACAACGATAAAGCAAATTTTGCTGTTTCGCACAAATGCCATTGTCACAATATTAATTTTCATGTGATAAAGCAAACAAAGATTTTACCCAAATTGATTAAATTGAACTGTATATTAACTCCACAACCCTCAAGCAATAACCCTACATCCAGTTATTGTTCACTTTTACAGTTTTTGACATGTATAATAGAAATTAGTTCTGTAATAAATGTTCTATTTTGAGTAGAACAGATTTTTCCCTGATAGTAAACAAAGACCAGTTTGACCTCCAATTATAAAGCAATTCAAACATCTGGTTTTAGTGGACCATTTTACCATACTCAGAAAATAGGGGTTAAAATTTAAGGATACCCACCCCTTTAATTTAAATGAATATAGTCACATGCAAACATGTGCTAGTTTGCATATTGGGCAGTGCATACAGTGATACCAGGTTTGGCTACTTATGTGGCAAATTTTTTTTTCCCTCTCAACTCTTTGCAAACCAAAAAATGTTTTCCTCTTTTTAAAATAATCTTCAACAGAAAAAAAAAATTTCTTTTCACTTTTTTTTTTTTTGTTTAATCACTCAGACATACTACTCCTCACTTAAACAGCCAATATCATCACCTCCTCATTTTGTTTGATTTGAAAAATCATTTAGAACTTGTTTTTGTTAATAAATTTAATTTATTTAACTTTATTTAGTAAATTAATTCAAAATACTGTATTATATTTTAGAGTTAAAACTGTTATGAGCAGCTACGGTTTTAATTCAAAAAATTTTAATTTAAATAATGTGTGTTCCAATCTCGTTAGAACATTTGTGTTCAATTTTAAAAATTTTTGTTTGCCTGATGACGACAAAAATAGATCCGTTGAAAACACTAGCAATAAAAAACCATTAATAACACCACACACAGTGAATTTTCCTTCCTGCTAACTACTGTTCTGCTAGTGATTCTTTTTAATGTGAGTTGACTGTATTCTGTTCAGGCAAATTCATACTAGAACCATCCAGCTTGGTATTTGCCTATCTCTAATGGCAGTTATCACAGCAACTTGATTCTAACAATAGAGAAGACATACATGATGGTGACATATTTACTTATTAAATTGTTCCATGAAACAACAATTACAGTAGAGCATTGATTATCCGACTCAATTGGGGACTGGGGTTGGCCGGATAATTGAAAAGTCAGATAACTGAAAAGTATGAAAAAATCCATTATTAGTGTAGTATATTATTATATCCCATGTAATTAGTATATTAGTATATTGCTATTAACCTACTTCGTGTTGAATTTTCCTCCATGTTAAGCCTATCAAATGTTTTTTAAAAATAATATTCGTCGCTATTGTATTGTTAAAAATTAGAAAATTAAGCCACGTTTAAATACTGGCTCCCTTTCATGGTTGATCCAGTGTTGCCAGCCAAAACACGCAAAAATAATATTAAAGTAGCGAAGACATAGCCAAATATTGTAGCACCACATCATTAGCGGACATTTGAATTTGCTGACTAGAACACGGTCGGTCAACCAAGGTGACGGTTAATCAATGCTCTACTGTACTGTGAAGAAATCAGCTAATTCACAAAAATGTAAATAGTAATTGACTTATTCTGAAATATGTCTTCTTTTTCTTGTTCTTTGCTTCACAACTGGGTGAATAGACAGACAGACACTGGGCATCTTTAACATCACACTTTATTCAGGAATATCCCACAGGCTGATATGCGTTTCAAGCAAGCGTCCCCC